TATGTTAGATTTTTTTGCAAATTGTAGTGATTTATGCCAGTTAACGGTGGCGACAAGTAGGCGCACCATGTACATTTCATAGTCGCTATCAAGTAAATTTTACCGGACTTTGAGTTCGTCTTAAGATAGAACAACGCGAATACACAAGGAAATTTTTATAGTAACTTTATAACCATCCTTTGGTCTTATGAAAGCTTGAAGCTCAGTAGATTGTGTCATATCGGTCATTCTTGAAACTGTCTTTGTTTTGATGCTACTTTTCGACATAGGAAAAGTATGTCGGACAAAAATATTCACCAAAAAATAAATACTTCTTTGGTAGCTTCAATAACGACAGGGGATTAAGTTTAGATGATAAAACAAAGGATTATGTTCACAGAAATACCGTAGGTCTAGTACATTCGATACATGAGGTCAGATAACTCGGGTAATAATCACGGTGAAAATTTGCATATTTGAGCGGTCGAACGAAAAAAATTATCTCTCGAAAACTAAAATATATTTTTACAAAAAAACTACACCACAATTATTAGAACATATTGGGCTACAAAATATAAAAGTAGGAGGGAAAACAAATTTGGGTGACTTGCCGCTGTTTGTGTGATGCATGCAGACATTAGCTCTTAAATAGATTTGAGGATTGGCTTTTTCCCTAAAAAACTTATCATGGTCAGAAGGCACAAAATTTGAATTGATAGCTTAATTTCGTGAGGGAACGATTCCAACAAGTTATAGACCCCCATGCGAGAGGATGCTGTTTTTTCTTCGTTCATTTTTAAACCTGAGAATTTTGAAAAACATTTCAAACTGGAACTCAAATGCCCCTAGAAGGACTTGTTACTTAAAAAGCATGTTATTTCAACAGCAAAAGGAGAACATTTCAATACTTCGAATCCACTGAATAAAGGATGGCCTAAAATTGAAAGTGTGAATTCCTGATTCAGGGAATCAAATGCTTTTTAAAAATCAATTGTTATCATGATACCAGACTGTCCACTTTGTTTGTGTATTCAAATACGTCATCAATAGTCCAGACAGTATAATAATAATTAGTTTATAGACTTATATTGCGCAATTATCAATATAAGAATTTTCAATTGCGCATTACAATTAAATGTTAAAAATTCAACCCCTACATAGATACTAAAAACTAAAAATTAGAAAATAAATAAAATAATAATAAAAATAAAAATAAATTAAAAAAAAAAAAAACGAACGTTGCTAAAATTCACTTTCATTCATTTTGGCGAGCCGCAGCGCCACGAAAGGCAGGAAAACCGATACGATTGTTTTCACTAATGAAATATTTCGCCTGCGGCCTGTGATTAGTCAGACGATTACTTCCCACTTGTGTGGAAAACTGTTCGACCAATCAGAATTTGAGCTGTTTATAATTTCAAGAGACAATTTCTCATGGAGTGAATCTCAGCACGTATATAACAATCAAATTTATCACAACTTTTAAACACATTCGGCATTGCTGTTATTGCTTGTGCAACCTAGTGCAATCAAATTCCATTTTGCTAAATTAGACTTCGCTCCCTCAAGTGTCATTTCCTCGTCAACAAACTGCATGAAACCACGTATTCTAACCGCATTGTCCGACCCCACTGAGAAAAATTCATATGGAAGTAAATGCTACCGATAACAAATTTTCCACGCAATTCTACCGCGTTTTGACTTTTTCAACGAATAAATTTGGCTTTTAGCTACCTTGGACTTAATCCAATCGCGTACTAATTCCTTTCAAACAACCTGCATTGTATCACGTATTTCACATATAGAGGGCAAAGTCCAGATAGGCAACAATCAATCAAGGAGCCCTCTTTGAAATATTATCCTTTTCTCTTGTTCAATGTATCTTCAATTATTCGAGATCGCAATATATCTTTGGCTAGGGTCTATTGGAGATACAACAGAGTTTCAGTATGCTTTTCGTGGTAAAATTACGTGGAATGATATTTTTGAGGCAACTAACTGTAGATGAATAATTTCGATTTTCTCTCTGTTAGAGGAACGGCACTAAGCGTAGTCTCGTTTGCAACCGTTATTTGGTCTCATCACGCAACGTGCTCTCTCTCAAACGGGGAATATATGGCGCTGTGTGACGAGACCAAACAACGGCTGCGAGGGAAACAACAGTGAGTGTGGCACCGATGCATTTTGTTTTTGCTTAGAAGTATTGAGACAATAGACCACAAAATACCTGTGTGAGTTTAGATAAATTAATCTAATTCTTTCTCTCAAGGCGAAGTGATGCGATATTTTCGTCCGTTTGAAAGTGAACCAAAGTGTCCCATCTCAACTCGCCCAGCTAAAAAAAATAACTTTTGCATGCTACGCACGCTTATATTTTAGATTGTCGGAGCGTGATAATACAGTTGAAACGCGTGCGCGGAAACACTGGAAGAGCCTTCTTAGAAGATATATGACAACCAAATGGTAACTTTTAGATTTGGGTTTTTCCATAGGATGCCCAAGTAAAAATGCTGGTACGTTCAGCCTTAGCTCCACTGAGGACGAAGTGCAGGTCGAACTCTCCTTCTTCTGAAGGTAAGCGTTAGCGAATAATTATTTTTCTTTTGCCCTTCTCGACTATCCATATATCAATTTTGATGCAACAAAGAAACATCCTACTCGTCACAAGTACTGATATACCCATAACCTACTGGTAGAGACGTGTCGTGGCCATGGGCTCATAACGAGCACTGATTGAACTTATACGACAGTGATTTACCTAACTCTTTTTCGAGTCTCGTCGCGGTAAAAGTTTTAATGAGGTGGAGAAATGAGAGTTTAATTCTAGGTGAAAAACAGATAGAAACTTATCATTCGTTACTGAGTGGCGTTTGACCAAAACTCCAAGAATGCGGTTCGAGTACCTAATTGTCTTTGAAATATTTTTTAAAAAGGCTTAAGTCACGATTCACGTATGCGCATTTAGAACGGAGGAAATAATGACACCAACAGGCCGACGGTATCCTTTGCCGTCCAGTGTCATAAAATCCGTTCAATGCTGGGATTTTGCCACCTCCAAAAACTCTTATACAGAATCACATTAACGATACGTATTTGGTTTTGTCTCGAAATTAATATTTTATCATTTCTTCCATTGAACATTTCGTCAAACGTTGCTTCAAAAATACCTGGCCGTTTTTCGAGTGTCATTGAAGTACACAACCTCAACAACAATGTATTTGACTTCTTGGTTAACACACTTGTAAAAAAGTTTGTTCTTTTAAGCGCTGGCTCTAGCACTGTGATATTCATCTTAATTTAATGATACTGCATTTTGATTTTTTTGTTTCTTCCATACTACGTTTATGCTTCCGTCCCAGAATCAGAGTCGCCTAAGGTAAGAACAACCCTTGGCTGTTGGTTTGGTTTTTGTTTTTATTTTTTATTTTTGGTACTGAGTAATGTAAAGCAAAATGATTAAATTAATAAGTTTCAGTATTTCTCATGCAAAATCGAGTGAGCGATAGCTCAATAAAATTGGTTTTAACCAAGCCAACCATAAGGAAAAAGTAAGCAACTGTAACTGGGTAAATCATGACCATGGACCCATGGAATTTCTTATTTCGATTTCCGATTCTGCTCTCGTTTCCTAAGTCCCCTCAAGTTCAAAATATCAAAATTTCTTACCTGGATTTCACTGTTATTGTCCTGGTGGTCAGAATAATTTCAAGTAGTCAATTTTTTATTACTGAGGGCTATAAGTTCCCAAAAGCATCGGCCACAGTACATGTGTAACGCCATTAAATTTAATTAAGCTTTATAATATAGTTTGGTATCCTTATCAAAACGTTTTAATTTCTTCCGGGGATATTCGTGTCAACTTCAGAGGAAAAGGCGCACGATCTTCTCATCCTGGTTTAAAGGTAAATGTCCAACTTAGCTGTATGTATATATATCTATACGAGAAAGTGTTTCTTTGTGATGAGAAAAGAAAAGGGATATATATATATATTTAAAATATATGTTCAAATTTGCCATGTCATGAATCTGAGTGCCAATCTTGTAACATAGCGGGCATATTTTATATATAAGTCTGTGTTTTGATTTTTCCGTGGTTCAGTGCTCGATACGCAGAAGTAGAACGCGATATATATCGAGATAGGAAAAAAACAGAGAGACTATAGTTTCATCCCTACAAGCCTGTTTCGTGATTGCTCACTCATCAGGGGATTTTATTGATTTTATTGATATGAATAAAATCCCCTGATGAGTGAGCAATCACGAAACAGGCTTGTAGGGATGAAACTATAGTCTCTCTGTTTTTTTCCTATCTCAATATATATATTTGTACTTCAACTTTGAGGCACTTGCGACGTACGTGAAAAAAGTACTCTTATACTCATGACCTGCAATCGATAACGTGTTACGGACATAAGCTGTAATTTTTCCACGACTTCTTTCACCTTGCAAGTGTTGTAGTCGCAAAATGTTTTTGATGAGGTGAGAGAAATTCTACACCAGAGGAAAAGGGAATTCAGTTTATCATTCGTCACTGAGTATTTTGAGTCTAAGATATATTAAATAAAGAATTCGAATTGTGAATAGGTTCCTTTTTTGTGAGAAGTTTTCAACGACAACGTTCAGTAAATAGCGTCGTTTATAAAACGTTAACAAAGAGAATTTGCTTTCTTCTATGCTTTCATCACGTTACTGGTCCAACAACCGGATCCACATTATCAGAGGTAAGGAGTATGTTTGTTTGTTTCTGATGCACTATGGAATATCTTGTTTCGATTGATTTCAGATTCTGTTCTCGTTTCCAAAGTCTCCTCGATTTAAAAAGTAGCACAAGGCCTAACACGATCTTCTTATCCATTGGCCAGCTAGTCAGATCAGAATTAGAGAGTGTTCTTTAATGTCTCTCATTTATCGTGGCATTTACATTTCTCAGAGCGGCGATCATATTGTTAGTATAATGCTGGCTATGTCAACAATTTAGCTCCAAAGTGAAATTTGGTATACTTATGCAAACGTTTTCTTTCAGAACAATTCATCGTCACCGGAATCTGATGCTAGTTCTTCTGAGGGTTTGTGTGATCAAGTGTTTATTTTTGTTTTTTCTTCTCAGCTGTCTAGTCCATTAGTAAGTCCATCTAGGTAACTGTATTTCATCGTTATGACCTACATGTCAAAAGAACTGTAATACATGCGACCCACAATTGAGAACATGTCGTGGCCATGAGCTCATACCCGCGCAGTTGAACTTGTGCAAACTGTGCTTCCCCTTACTTTTCCTTTGCCTTGCAAGTGTTGTTGGCAGGAACTTTTTTTGCTAAGATGAGGGAGACATTTTTTAATTCTACACAAGAAGAAAAGGGAATTCAGTTTGTCATCCGTCACTGAGTATTTTGAGTCCAGAAAATTTTAAATGAAGAATTGTGAATAAGTTCACTTTTTTTGTGAGAAGTTTTCAACGACAACGTTCAGTAAATAGCGTCGTTTATAAAACGTTAACAAAGAGAATTTGCTTTCTTCTATGCTTTCATCACGTTACTGGTCCAACAACCGGATCCACGTTATCAGAGGTAAGGAGTATGTTTGTTTGTTTCTGATGCACTATGGAATATCTTGTTTCGATTGATTTCAGATTCTGTTCTCGTTTCCGAAGTCTCCTCGATTTAAAAAGAAGCACAAGGCCTAACACGATCTTCTTATCCATTAGCCAGCTAGTCAGATCAAAATTAGAGAGTGTTCTTTAATGTCTCTCATTTATCGTGGCATTTACATTTCTCAGAGCGGCGATCATATTGTTAGTATAATGCTGGCTATGTCAACAATTTAGCTCCAAAGTGAAATTTGGTATACTTATGCAAACGTTTTCTTTCAGAACAATTCATCGTCACCGGAATCTGATGCTAGTTCTTCTGAGGGTTTGTGTGATCAAGTGTTTATTTTTTTTTTTCTTCTCGGCTGTTTAGTCCATCAGTGTGTCCATCATGATATCTGCATTTCATTGTTATGAGCTACATGTCAGAAATACTTTTATACATATGACCCACAGTTGAGAACATGTCGTGGCCAAGGGCTTATACCTCGCAGTTGAACTTGTGCTTTTCCTTACTTTTTTTTCGTATTCTGAGTGTTGCAGGCGCAGAGTTTTTTGATGAAGTGAAGGAAGAGTATGTTGAACTCTAGATTAGAAGCAAATAGAAGTTTATCAAAGGTCACTCAGTAGTTTTGGTCCAAGACTCTAGTCAATACTGCGAACGAAACCAATTTTTTTCTAGAATTTTTGATAGTAATGCTAGTGAATAGAGTTATTTAAGAAACATCAACATAGACAACATACTGATCATTTGGGAATTCAATTTTGAGTGCTTGGTGTCATTAGTCAAAAACTTCATAGGGAGATTTTCAATAAAATGATTTTTTAAGACATATCATGAAAAACTTACGTTAGTTGATAATTCACTGATGTAGCGAGGCTGGTGAAGAGGAGAATCATTAATCTCCATCATACTGCACTTAAACTTTCCGCTTTCTTCCATGCTCCAATGACGCCACTGCCCCTAGACACAGAGGCGTCCGAAGTAAGAAAAACAATGGTATGTAGGAAAGAGTGCGTTTTGTTATTTCAACATCAAGCTTACTCACGAATATTCATGATCAACAGATTCTTTGATAGCTTATCATTACAAGCGAAGCTTATTACCTCCTGTCAAGGTATAAAAAGTAAAGCCATATATCTTTATTTACATGTTTCGGTATTTCTCTTGCGAAATCGAGTGATATGTTGAAGAGCTAAGCGAAACATCAGGAAATAGAAACCAATTAAAACATTTATCTTCTTGTAATAGAGCCGTTCACGTCTACCCAACTTGAACAGTCAGGGAACACAATTGTTTTATCTGAAAGGTAACTTACTGTTTTTTGGTCTACAACTGTTTTGCAAAAATGTCCGGTTTGTTACATGTAACCTCGAACCAATATCCCCAGTCCAGCTCGAGCAAACTAGGTTGTTAGTTACTCCGTGCGAACTTAGTAATGGTATTCTTCCTATTGGGTCTTGACACTGTAAAGTTTGATCTTGTAATACTCAGTCTAGGGGCAAAAACACTAAACACAAGATATAGCGCATAAATAGTCAGTCCTGAAAACTTTTCCGTAAAAGTCGTTGTATATTCAGTAAAATTGTTTAAGAAACCCCAAAAATTGAACGCACTCACAAATTTCCTTGTAGCCCATCCTTTTCGTATGTGGAAAGTGGATGAATGCATCGGAGCGGGAGCTTATGGCAAGGTACGTTAACTTTTAATGTAATCAGGAATTTGACATAAAAGTAAATATATGCCGGAAAATAACATGATTGTACTCGGCATTTTGTGAGACGTGACAAACTATGATCTTTGGTTAAAATGTGCTCCTCACTGAAACTGAGCAATCTGAAAGAGTAGCCCTATTTTTCAGTCAACAATGAGCTCGAGTTAGTTCTAACCTAGCGGAGGTTGGAATCATGGTCGCTAGACTGCAGAGTAACAAGTATACTGTAATCTGAGAAATACAAGGGCTACCCTGCAGTGCAGGCGTCTTATTAGTGCAAGCTGACGTTATAAGCTCGCGATCGTTTATCCGACCAGACATGTTTGATTTGCAGTAGTTAGAGTGGACGGTAGGGGTAGGGGGCGGGGGAAGAGCGAAAAGACGTCTGCCCGACGAGGCTGTTAAAATGCCATACACCCCCTGATTAGTTGCACTTCACTGCATTTCCGGAAATAGGCAGATAACCAATAAAAATGAGTTAAATGAAAAACCGGAAGCACTGTCTTCTGACAAAAACAAACACACTAAGAGTTGAAGAATGAAACGGTAAGGCAGTTTTTTATTCGGCCAGAAAAGAAATGACATCGACAAAACCTCCTCCGCGGTCACAAATATGAGCTGATATTTGCTGCACTTTATAATTTCCAAACGAAAATCCTTGAGTATAGCTGCCATTAATCTATTTAACAATTTTCCTTTTTTCTTCTATTTGATCGTAAACGATACTTTGAAGCAACAAACAACTGCACTCGAACGTTTACCCGTCACGATTTGTTTGGTGCAAACTGGCATACACTGCTGAAATGGTGTGGCTGTTTTTTTCATCAAGGGAAAAATTTCCTTCACCAAACATTCTCTGCTGACTCAAATACGAGTTGCTATTCACCGCACTCTATATCCTCCAAATGACAGTCCCTAAGTGTAAGCTACCATTAATGCGACTGAAGATGTTTATTCCATTTGATCATAAACAATACATTGAAGCAGACAAACGACAACTACGCTCGAAGTTTTCCTGTCGTAATTTCTTTCAGTCACAAGAACCAACACCTGAAATATCAGGCTTTTCCAAAAGCCAGTTGGCAACACGGCCAGTAAATCCTTTCCATGAACCGGTGTAGAAATTGCTTCTTTTTGTTCCGATTTTAATGCGCTAGACATGTTAAATTCCGAAAAACACTTAACGCTTCATCGAGAGCGGAATCAAAACCAATAACTTGACGATCAGAGTTCGCCATCTTTCTCTTTCTCCAGCAATAGAGTAATGTCATGCTCAAATGATCAATAGCTGTAGCTTAATCGCACCAATCAGGTACTCCGTTCGTGGGCGAACAGAGTATGGCAAAATAAAGATGACTTCGGGCAGGCGTAATCTTCACTCCCCCACCCCCACCCCTCTCCTTATTTTTGACCGTCGACCGCCCCCTTGGTACAAATTGATTTCTCTCCTCAGCTTTCCGCTGCCATTATTATCAAAGATGGCGGCCATAATTTTCGTTATGAAATTACTGAGCACTCGCTCGCCAAAATTACGCCTGCTCCGCAGGCTACACAAGGGCAAGAGAACATTTGTTCTATCTTGACAAGGGTAAGTAACTGCGATAAATTAACAATAGCCTTCATTATTGTCGGCGGACATTGTCTGTTCCGAGAAGCGAAAAGTTGTCCGAGAGAGATGGTCGAGGAAAACCGTGAGCTTCGAGGAACAGATGATGTCCAAGTTCAAATATAAGAGCATATGTCTTACCAAATGGAGGCTGCTGTGTTTATTATACTTCAAATATTTTTGCAGTGCGTGGAACAAAACGTAAAGCACGCAGGAAGCAGCTAGAGCACGAAAGAAGTGTAGGGAGAAACACGAGACGTAGTCTTGAGTGCTCAAGCGCTTCCTAAGTTCTTTACAACAGTACAGAGCACAGTTGAGGCTTCTCTATTTGATTTGTAATAAAGAATCTGTTGAATTCCCCATGCATTACTTTCAATTTTCAAAACAAACTTTAAACTTTATTTTCAAAGCGAGCAACAGTGTCGTCAGCATACCTTACACTCTCATTTAGCATGCTACAACAAGCCAATCAGAATTCTTGTCAGAATGGTTCAAATAATCTGATTGGTTGATAAAATTCAGATTAATTTTTTCAGGTGTATAAGTGTAATATTCCACGTGAAAGCTATGGAGGCCTGTGTGCTGTAAAAATAGTCAAGATAGAGCCTCAATACACTCGATCGCGAAAGGTTAGTCTCCTTCCCCTTTGATGTTTTCTTTTAGGAAAACGTCAGGTTTTTAGCTTTACGGTTTACTGCTGCATCAAAAAGTTCGTGTATTACTTCAAATGATACCTTAATTTCTTTTTGAAAAATTACTTCTTTCGAAATTCCAGGAGGTGATGCTACTCAAAAATGAAATCAATATTTTGAAAAGAATCAGACACGACCGAGTTGTGGCCTATTATGAAAGCGCTGAGAAAGACAATCATCTCCATCTATTTATGGAATTGATGACCGGGGTAAGTTTAAAGAAGAGAAACATTAAATGCCTCTGAAGTTAATGAATGATTAAAATAACCTTTTGAGTGTTCTAAATTCTTGATGGATATTAATTGGGATGAGGGGCGTTACTGAAATCAATAAACTTAAGTTTTACTATAGCTTAGGATACAGCTGCGTGATAACGCTTTTTCTAATCGATTTCTTGCGGTGAACTTTGACTTTTTCTGATTCTATATAGGGATCATTGTCTGATCACATAAAGGAGAAAAAAGTTCTCTCTGAAAGGGAATCGCGCAAGTACACCAAGCAAATGTTGGAAGGAGTATCTTTTCTACATTCAGAAAACGTTATTCATAGGGACATCAAAGGTGCAATAGATGAATACATTGGTCAGCGGCTATCATGCAAATGATTGTCTGAGATGCCAGTTTGTGTCTTCGTCCTCTTAGTGGTCTTTATTTCCAATCGTCTTTCAAATTTACCTCACATAGTTCAAGTACTTAATGTACAATAAAGAGATATCATTCGGTGATATCTGATACCGATATTAAACAACTTAAGCTGGGGTAAACTCCGCTCTTATGTCAAATGCATGTTGTGCATTACCTGAAGTCTTTATAAATCTCTAATTGATTCTTTCACATATTCCTAGGATCAAACGTCCTTTTAGATCAAGATAGAAATGTAAAATTGGCAGACTTCGGACTATCGAAAATAATTCAGGTACAATTCTATGATATTTAGCATCCTTTCAATTAATTACATCCTTTGAACAAACTCGCCACCACTGAAGGTCAAATCGCCACCGGTGGCGATTTGACGTTTTCGTTTTGTGTAGCCTTCGTGTGAAGCTCGTATTAAATGAAATAATCGCCACCGGTGGCGATTTGACTTTTAGTGGTGGCGAGTCTTTTTGCCGTTGTGGTGGCGAATTGACGGGATACCGAAAGAACGCGCACTTCATTTGATTGATTTTGCGGGGATAGGATTCTCACGAAATGCACACGGGCAATATCACACATATCATTCCAATGCATTTCTCAGTTAAGCCTCACAAACAGACAGCATTACTAACTTTTCCTGAAAAAATGTACAGGCTGAAGACGATAAGCCGCGATAAACAGAAATAAAAACTTGTAGATGGATTTTATTACTGTAAAAAACCATTATGTGATCACACGAAGAAATTCTTCACAAATTTTTACACGCCACAAATAGGGCTTTGCTATCTTTGAGCAGGGTAGTTATAAACGGTATTTTACATTTCGTGGTGGAAAATTTGTTTGTTTACTTGCAATTCGGCAATTTCAAATGTTGCATATAATTCCTTGCAAACCCCATCCTGAACTTCCGAAACTGTCTTTGATTTTGACCTGTGGGGAGCCTTGTGGGGTCATTGGTTTAGAACAAAGTGGTAATAGCAAAATTTGAAACAAATTAGCCATCCCCGCTCCTCTCGACTCTCGGCGAGAAAGATAATTTGGTGTGAAATTCAAATGTTTACCCTCCAAAGGTCCGTTTCTTAAAAGAATATTGGTCTCTTTCATCCACACTCAGAAAATTGGGAGCAAAACCACTCTTCTATCCCATTGCGGCACTCTCTACTGGATGGCACCAGAAATATTCTGGGGAAAAGGATACGGTAGAAAGGTAGACATTTGGTAAGTTTAACTGTCTTCATAATGAGTAAAACACACAGAGAAAGATAGAGAGAGACAGAGAGTGCTGGAAGGGACAAAGGTGCGAATGCTGCGTAGTTAGCTGTTTAACTACTTGTGATAGACCTGTTCCTTCGCATTCGTCCTATTCCGCCGATGTCTGTTGTTACGTCGAGCCTATCACTCCTTTACTTGGATCTGATTTTATGAAAGAGAGGATCAAGTTTCAGGAGAGTATGAAGATTAAAATTGATTTAAATTATTGTTAAAGTCTGGTCTCAAAGAGTTGGTTTCTTTCTTTCCTAAAGGAGTGTCGGTTGTACCGTTGTGGAAATGTTGACGGGAAGCCCTCCGCTGGGTGACCTCGAAGCAGCGGCGGCCATCTTCCGTATTGGATCTAAGCCAACGGTACCAAAGTTGCCGAAGGATACATCAAAAGCTACAAAGGATCTTATTGCGGCTGCTTTGACTTGGTTTGTATAGTAAAACCGTATATGGAAATGTTAGAAGTAGTAAGGATGAACTATTCATATTTGCTTCAATTGTAGGAACCCTCAGAAACGACCATGGTCGAACGATTTGCTGAATGAATTTTTTTGAAGTGCCGTTCGGAATCTTTTTGGGGTAAGCACCTGATGAAGCATTCACTTTCTTAAAAGAATATAAAATTCGAATTTGACTTCTTGTTAGTGGGCTAAAGTGATTCAATTTGCCAGTAGAGGAAGCGCGGCTGAGTGACTGCATAGTGCTCGCAATGCTGAAGTTCCAAGTTCGAAACACACATTCACAGTTGTCTGGATTTGCTTTTTAACTGTTCCAAACTCAACAGTTCCACCATACTTGTAAATAGTCAACTAGTTCCCCTTCTGCCATTTGGTGTTTTTAAAAAGCACGCATTCAACCCCTAGCTACACAGGCCATGTGTCAATTTTTATTATATAGTTGGTGCAGTGTCATTCACACCACGTTTTCATTTGATATTCGGAAATTCTATCCTTCATTTCTTCTTCACTCATTCGTTTTTATCAATTTATTTTCATTCTTCAATTTTCATTCATATCTTTTCATCCATTATTTATCTATTTATTTATTTATTTATTTGTCTGGCTAAATTTTCCTTTTTTGTCGAAAAGTAATCAAAAGGAAAGTTAAAGCTCCTCTTCTATGACTTCTGTACTTCGAACTTTTGAATGGTTATACTTAAATCGCAGTGCTAAGGGCAGCTCTTATTATTTCGACAGGGCCTCTCGGATGTTCCAATCAAAGAATGATCCATGTGTCTATGTAATGTAATCAAAGTAAACCAAAACCAAAGTAGTTTTATAAGAGTTCTTTGCAACTATGCTTGATGCAACTCTTGTTAATGTAATGATGGAATTTAAAAATGGGAGAGGTTTGGTGAATTTCCTCCTATCTGTCAGAATAATTGCCCTCCGGGGTCCCTCAGGGAAAAACTTAGACCCATCACCATTTCTTGTACTTATAAATGATTTATATGTTGACAATTTAGCTAATGTACGGAAGTACGTTGACGATATGACCGTATCTGAAGTCGTTGCCAAGGGCAACCGAAATTGTATCCTGGAGATTGCGCATAAGGTTGCGGAGTGGTCTACGCAGAATAGAGTCCACCTCAATAGCGAGAAATGTAAGGAGCTCAGGATATCTTTTATAAAGGATAAGCCACAGTTTTTCATGGTAATGAACTAGAGAGGGTGTCTAGTGCTAAACCACTAGGTCTGACCATTACGAGCAACCTTACATTGAACGAGCATATTAGTCAGGCGCATTTTTCTTTAGAAAGATGTCTTCAAACCCGAGCCTAGATTCATCAGTAGAAGAGTTCATAGACGGACAGGAAAATGAAAACACCACAAGACCAAACACGATGTTGCTCTGTTCCACGAATTTCTTGTTTTGAAAGGCGAGTTGAGACAAATGGACGAATTGACTCTTCAAGAGCTGAATGAAGTCTTGGGTTTTCACCTCTGCATTTCAAATTTTGAACTTCCTTAAAACTATCTCGACATATTTTCAGGATGTCTTTTTTTTAATCTAATTAGTTCTACCTTTTAACGGGACTTTTGCTAAATAAATTAAATGTAAAGTATTTTACAAGGAAGCCATTTCAGTGCAACTCTCGAACAGTGAGGCGGCTTCACCGCGCGTTGTTTTCCTTTGAAAGAAAATAAAGATAAGTTTATCTTTGAGTTCTGTTCACTTATGAATCTCGGTATGTATATAATAAATAAGTTACTTGCGGTTGGTTCGCTTGTACGATTTTTATTTACTACGCTCTCACCAACCGCAAAATAACCTATGAATATATATATATATATATATATATATATATATATACTAGTATAGCACAAAAAGTCGACGGATAAACTGGTTAAACTCGACGCAAGAATTGTTGGATAATTAAGTTTATCAACTGAGTGGATAAAGTAAATTGCCACCGTTAAGAGTTTCTAAAGCTGAAGTTTCGAGCGTAAGCCCTTCGTTAGAGCCAACGGTGGCCAATTTACATTAACAACTCAGATGATAATACCAATTATTCTGTTATTGCCCCCAATCGACGCAGAATTACATTTTCCTTAGAAACCTTTCCCTTTCATTTGATAATACGCCGAGGAGAGTTGTGATACACTGAATAATTTATCACGCATCTTCAGATGTTCTTTGTCCTAGGGTAATGCAAATTTCTGAATAAGTAGAAATCGAACGCTCGTTTCTTATGTTTTCGACTTTAATTGGGGCGTCATCTCAATTCACTGCGTATGAACCTTGATGAATCGAACTACATGCGAGGCGGCCAATTTATGGATTACATTTTGGAATTAATTCTGAAAAATGAAGACCAGCAGCTGGATAAGATTTTAAGCGAACAAGCGACAAAGAGAGGCTCGAATCCTTTGGAATTAACAATGAAAAACTTTGAAGAAATGTTTGTGTTTGCGTCGTTCGCAAGATCTGTGCGCTGCTTGACAGTTTTGACAAAATATGGTGAGTAAACTTGTAAATCACCTCTTCCCAAGAAAAAAAGAGAACTTTGTGATTAATTACTAGTTATAGTTTCTTATTTAGATTTTTCAAATATACGGCGAGGTAAACTAATCAATTAAAATAATCAGATTTCGATTTTAAAATAAAAATCAAAATTTCCCTTCTCTTATTTTAAAAACTATTGTCTTCAATTTCAATCTTTTTTTTAATTTTCTTCTGATGGCCTCAGTTTTAGAATTATAAGTTTCATTTCCAGTGATGAGTTCGCCAGAGCGGGACGCGACGTATCATTGAGCCTTTAGAGCCGTGCAGTCGTAATGATATAAAGATGATTCATTGCGATATGAAATAGGAGATGACCTAATAAGATCTTACATGTAAACGTTAGGACTGATAGACGTCAACTTTCTGGCGAGCCTCAGGACCTCACTTCACGGGCTTCCTGTCACGCCACTCAGAATAGCCGTGGAATATGACAACATTGCTGTCGTAAAATGGCTTTGCTGTCACGGGGCAAACGTCAACAACAGAGAAGCCGTATGGAGTACGAAATCAGATGAAATCACTTCCGGTTCGTTTATTTCTAGCACGTGCTCAGTCCCCTGTATGACGCCTCTGCATTTTGCCCAATCTGCCGCGTGTGTTAAGATTCTTTTGGAGAATGGGGCCGACATGTCTGCGCAAGACTGCATGGGAAAGACACCTGTGGCAATGGCAACACTATACGGCCGTTTTGACGTGTTGGAAGCACTCTGTTGTCACGGAGCGCCTTTAAATCTGGCGAGCTGTTGGGGAGCGACTCCGCTGATGTATGCTCAATACGGGCGCAGTAAGTCTGAACGAGTGTCAGCTACGGAGATTTTATGTCGGTTTGGCGCTGATGTTGATTTGCAAGACAGAAATGGACGAACCGCCTTGCATCTGGCCAAAGATGTGGAGTGCGTTTGTCTGATTCTTGCTTATCATGGAGACCCTAGTATTGAGACGATCTTTGGAAAAACAGCCCTTGTCACAGCCGCTGAGAATCAACGCTTGGACATTTGCCGCATGTTATGTGACGCACAAGCTGTGGTTAGCCTTGGAGCCTTGGGTCGGGGGTCAACTCTCTTTTGTGCCATATCACGTGATACTCAGGCCTGGCTCATGGAATGTTCTCGAAATGTCAGACAGCTAAGCCATCTTTGTCGCTGTGTGATACGTAACCAACTCAAATTGAATTATAAAAATATTTTTGAGGGAGTTAGACGGCTTCCCTTGCCTACGCCCCTTGAAACTTACGTTTCTTTTAATATGAAAGACCAAATTTTGAAATGATAAATTAATAATATTATACGAGTTGATATTGTAAGAAGGCGCCGTTACTTCAAGACTATCTTTTAAGCTCCAAAAAGTAACTACGTGTACACAAGTAGGAAGACCTAGGTGTAATTATTTCTAACAAGCTTACTTGGGACTTGGAATGCTTTGTGCGAAACACTTGATTTATCAGGGATATTTGAACATTGCGGTTATCAAAAAGAAATCATACGTAAAAACAGTTGCAATCGTGTGGGGCTAATAAATAAGAAGTAATGATAGGTAAAGTCTCTGTTCCATCGCTAAAAAGTAATTTATCATCCGGTTAACAAACATCAAAACAAACTTCGCTGTCTCTCTCAGGGTCTTCACATTAAGTTTGTGGTTGTGCCTAGTCCATACTTTTCGCTTTGATCCCATTTCTGACTTTTCATCATACACTGTTCAAGCCTTTCGTTTCAACAACTGACAGCAGATACATTCTTGCATTCTAATTGAAGTTCTTACAGCTTCTTGGTCTCAACCGAGTGACTCACGATAACCGCAGGCAGTTATGGTTTGGCGGTATTGTTATCCTGAGTTATAACTTTCAGCCAGGACTCTGAGAGAAACCGTGCTGTTTCTCTGAGTTACTTTCCTATCCCATCAATGTTTGAAAGAAGATGAAGGTACCTAAAATTATGCGGCATTTCTGCAGTCGACAATCGAAATGTGTTTACCTATGCAACATGTCAAACAAAATCATCCACGGTACAGTTACTAGAGTAGTTCGGTTAGAGAAGAGTAGTCATCTAGATCAATATCTCCCCTTCAAATAAACGAACCTGTCATTTTCCACCGTACCAGAGGGTACGAGAGGGGGAGAGCTAACATCACTTACTAAAAAGGATCCTTTTCGGCGACTGGATATCAGGTCACGGTAGCTGAGCATTAACTTCGAATTGACCGTGCACGGTTTCGTGACAGTTAGTTTGTTCTGATGGGCGGTTCCTTGTGAATATATTTGGTTCTCTTCTCTTAGCGTTGGCGTGCGTACAAGATTCATTCAGCTTCCACTTGCATATTTTATCCTTTCCCGGCAAAGCTCGACAAAGGTAATGTTATGGAAAATTGTTAAGATGACATTAGTGATGATGATAACTCTAGATTCCTCTCCTGACTCATGGGGCATAGTTTTCGCTTGTGAAATTAGAAGTCAAGGGTTGGGTTGTCCACTTGAAGTCTTTGTCCCATCAATCTGAAGAAAAGAAATTTATCATTTGGTCAACAAACACGGAAATTCGAGTTAACTTATACGCCGTTTTTCTCGATCGAGGAACACGTCTTTAGCGATTTTCGAATTATGTGCTGTTTTCCTCTGCACGTATATCAACATACTTGCACGCTTCGATCATTTTTTTATCATTGTGGGTTGATTCAACATCCATGTATATTCATTTCTTCATTAAGTTTGTAGTTGAAGCTAACCTGTGCCTTTCGCTTTAATTTCATTTCTGAAACACTGTTTCTAGTCAAAGCACCCATCAACTCCCACGTGTGAAGCGACTTAACCACCCGCGGTTTAGGATTGGTTATATCGAAGTAGAAACACTCGTAGTTTCTTGGTCTCAACCGAATGACTCACAATAACAATTGTCACACAATCTTATTTTTTTTTCTTAAAATTCTCAGGTAAAAGCTACTTCGTCAAATGTTCTCACACGTGCGTTTTACTGTGAACATAGCTAACTAAATTGCGTAAATGTCATATTCTATAGTAAATGGCAGTCAATAAATGCCAAGCGATCTCAGGTCCTCCTTATCCTAATTTGCATAAATATTTTTAGTGAGCAAAAGTCGACATACCATCAAATTCATTCCAACAGCACTTGCATCCCAAATGTTAAAAGCTTTTGATCCTTTAAAAACTATTTTTCCGGTGACTGGACATCGGTGTACGGAAATTGAGCATTTATCTCCTTCGAATTAACCAATCCTATTATGGGATTATGGGATTTGTAAATTAACTTGCTTTGATGGGTGCTTTGTACTTCTGTATTCGTTTGGCTTTGTTTCCCTCAGTGTTGTTTCGTGCAAGCTAGTTTCATCCAGTTATGTCTTTCATCTGTTCCCGGCAAAGCTGGATAAAGGTAATGTCGTGGACATTTAGTACACGAATTATTAAGATGGCATTCATGATAATGATAACTTTGTAGGATTATGTATTTATCATAGTACTTGACTATTCCATTTGAATCTCCGCCTTGGAGGAAACCAAATTCGCCACAGAGGGCGCACCTAGATAAACTGATGACTAATGAAGGCCTTGAACACCTGTATTCTTCTACCGAATGTTTGTGCCAAGCTGAAGTTGACTCGTAGTTAATCCGTGGTTTCTTTATAAAGGAGAAAAAATTATTTTCACTACTAAGAAGCGTTGACATCTTTCGCGTTGCCATCCATTTAGTGGAGTATGCCATCTACGGACTAAGGGGATTCGGGATTATTTATTTTTATTCTTTTCAGTTATTACAATGTTTCCCTCAACCAAAATAATCCGAAAAATTTGTCTGAACGGAAAGGCTACAGTTCCTTTTCCATGGAGTCCCCAGGGTGGATTGGGGTAGCGTTTTCCAAATAGCCTCAGTGATGATACTTCAAAAAATTACATGTCTTTTCCCTCCAAGAATTGGTATGAAAAATTATTTTTGTTTTTTGTTTGTCGGTGGAGTGATTTTGAGGTTTCTGAGTGTAGTCGCGAAATTTCAAGTTCTTTTTCCCTCGATAGTTTTTAAGTGCTCCATTTCTTAACTCGTGAATTGCGCGCATCCGCAAGAGCGAGTTGTAGATACGATGTGGGGAATGGCACTCGCTCGCTCGCTCGCTCGCTCGCTCGATTGGTCGATTCCTGTAAACTTTTTTTCGATTTTAGGCTTTTGGGTGCATTTGATAGTTTTTGACGAGCAATAAACAAACGAAATGGCGACCTTTGTTGCTAAGAATAGTGGTGGGGTGAAAAAGAAGCCAATGATAATCTTAAAAGAGGTTTTTTTTTCGTTTTAGTTTCGACAAGCGGCGCCAGCGACTGGCAAGCATGCAAGGATTCACACTGAAATAACAGAACAACCTTCGTTTTTCATAAAATTGTAATTTACAACCTTAAACTTGAAAACAATCCGAAGATTCATTGAAAATATCACTTACTGCGAAGCGCTCGGAGTTTACAGATATTCAAAAGCTTTTTCTGTTATGGCGTGAGATTGAGGACAAAATCGATCATTACGCTTCGTATCGTGTGTTTTTCCTGTGTGAAGCAACAAAAGATGCCGGCGACTGACGAAATTACAAGTTAACACGAAAATCAAATAACACCTAAACAAACAATTTTAACTACCGATTTTCAGTGAATTTTTTTTAAGAACAATTTTCTTTTAAGTTTCAAGACAATTTGAAGATTCAAAATACATATTACGTACTAAATTGCGAAAGTTATACACCACAAAATTGATAAATAGGCCTGAAATGAAATTCTATCTTGTTAATGATTATACGTTGCCTAGCATATGACTAAAATCTACTTAGGCGGAGATCCAAAATGACGGTGGCAGTCTTGGCTTAGTTATATCACTCAAAACTCGTTCCCGTTTGTCTCATTGGATAAAGAGGGAATCGTTAATGTTTTCATTAAGACAGTATTGCCTTGATTTTCTAATATTTACAATGATAGACAGTAAATTTCACTTTTCACCCACATTTTACTTCCAACCCTTTCTTTTGAACCAGAAACAAAAATGATATACGTTTAAAACACATGACATCATTCACCCTTGTCAAATGTAATAGCATGATCATTTCAATTGTAATGCCTTCTTATCCAAACGTTACTTTGTTTCTTTGCTACATTAGCGAACACTGAACTACTGCTCGTACTCTAGATATGACAATCGACCACAAAATTCCCTAAACCAGATAACATTAAACATAATCCAAAAAATCATGTGTCGATTTACGAGTTTGCTCACAGAGCACTTTGATCTATCGCTGTACTGCGAAGGTACAGAGAAACAAAGGCGCCGAATGCACCTTTACCGCTGTTGCCGGTTAAACTTTTCTAGTGTGAAGTTGCGTTTGTTATTCAGAGGCTACAATAGAAGAAAGAGCAAGATCACAAACTGATACTTTTATAGATTTCACGCTGTCAAAGGGAAATACTTCAGCTTCGTGTCGCCGAAAGACCTAGAGAATATCTGTACTTTTTCTAACTGATTGACTTTATTTGGCGGCGGTATTCAAGGAGAGACACGTTCTAATCAACGATGATCGTCTAGTTTAGCAAAGGAAAAATAACGAGAAACAGAGGAAGCGAAAAAAATCTTTGACATGTACATCTTTCAAACGTATCTTCCTTTATTAGAAAGATACATTTCTATGAAATGAATATGTTAGTATTCATTTGAACTTAAAAGGATTTCTGTTTCCTAACATACGCTCTTAAGCAGAAAAAGAAAAAAAACGAAGGAAGAGTCATTAGGAAGTCGAGACGCCATCTCGGAAACACACTCTGATTAAAAGCTTTTTAAAAAAAATGAATGGTTGTTGATTAAATACATATTGCTGTACAACAAAGCTATCATATTCAAAAGTTGACCAGTCAGTTGCAATTGTGTAACTCGGTTAGAAACTTTTAAAGAAAGAGCAGTCATCTAGATCGATATGCAACCAAGAACTGCAACCAAGAACTGCAACCAAACACAGACGATAGACGGTAGACGGTAGAGGATAGACGATAGACTTTCAATGGATTTTGTAACGGAACATGAAGTTAGAAATTCTAAACGTGCTTAGCTAAAAACTACGACGTCAAACGTTCTCACACGTGCGTTTTATTGTGAACATAGCTGACTAAATCTTGTAAATATCATCTCCTCTTGCAGTTAATATGCCAGGCGGATCTCACATCCTTCTTAGCCTAATTTGCATATTTATACAGCTATCTGTCATTTAAAAACGATTTTTTTTGGTGACTGGACATCAGTGTACGGAAATTGAGCATTATCTGTTCCGAGATGCAAACAGTTTTTCGGGAGCGAAGCTCGAGGAGAGCTGTGAGCTACGAGGAACAGATTATTTCCAAGGACAAAAATACGAATATATTTTTCAACGAAAAATGGAGGCCACTGTGACCACGAATAGCTTACCTTGTACCGTTTGCCGCGTGGAATGTTGCGTTTCAGGCCAATCACACGCAAGAAAAAATAATCGATGGATTATGATGAGTGTTATGTAAGTATTTTGAACAATTTTACAATTCAATTTCGTTGGATTGTTATGTTAGGATCTCGCACACCTTAAGGTTTCCCTTTATTGGATAGTTATCTTAGCATCTCACGCACTTTTAGGATTCTCTTTCATGTGATTATTACGTAAGTGACTCACGTTCTTTCAGGATTCTCTTTTGATTGTTACGTTAGAATATCGCGCACATGTAGGATTCCTCTTTCACTGAATTGTTATGTTAGTATTTTGTGCACTTTAAGGATTCTCTTTCATTCGATTGTTACGTTAGTATCTCGCACAACTTAGCAAAATGTAGGATTCTCCTTCATTCGTAAGATACATTAGTATCCCGCGAACTTACGATTCTCATTCTTTCGATTAGTACTTCAGTATCTTGCAAAATTATGGGATTCTCATTTATCCGATTGCAACGTTAGTCTTTCGCTTACTTTTAGTACTTTACACTGACCTAGATGAAAAATAAAAACGTCATTGATCTCGAGGAACATTAATATCCTGGCGAAAACTCCCAATGGGGTAGAGAGAAGAAAAAGGGCAGTTCGGAGATTTATCATGGCTTCAACTATGCGGCAAATCTTGTTGAACGGCATGAATGGTGCATAGTGGCATGTACGAAGACAAATTATGGATTAAGTCGGCTAATTTTTTTAATATTAGAGTATCAAGTTAAATACTTAAATAACTTCAAATTGTCAATTTTAGAGGTGAAAATTTGTGAAAATGACGATAAAATGAGCATTTTTGGAAATCTGAAGGTTACTTTTAATTATCATCCTAAAGAGTTTTCCAAATCTGAAACTTTTGTCGACAAGCGGCTAAAGTAGAAAGATTATTGTTTTCTCAGAGGGCACGCTAACGAATCCTGCGATCTGATTGGTTCTTTACGCGGTGAGTATTTTCCTATCTCTGCCCACGGGCAACGATAACGCTTTTGTGAGTCGCTGAGTACATCCCTACTAGTGCTTTCGTTGCCAATTTTCATAAATACATCTCGTTTTACTGGCTGGGCAGTATTTTTAACTCTTTCTAGCAGACTTAAAAAAAATGACAGATGATGGCAACCTTTTTTCTTTTCTTTTTTTTTTTTGTCAACAGTATTTACACTAGTGATTAGTGCTATATCTCATTTGAAAGAGGACAAAATTAGCTTTTCAGAAAAAAATATATTTTGCCTCCAAAAATCCATGGATTTTAAATCATGTTAAGAAAATGGCATACAATTTGCATAAGTTATCGTACAACTTTTGACTTTGAAACAGCCTGGGCCTGAATGGATTGGAGTTACAAGGAAACATTTCTAAGATAAAATATTCCTTATATTATGGGCAAGACATCTAGAGACTCTGGCTGAAAAAGAACAAATACAGAATTAATTACAATTTTTTTCCAAACTCTACCCAAAAACCATAATAATTGACCCAGATTATTGAAAAATTTATTCCTCACCAAGTATTTACACAAGGGAAGTAAGCTATACCTCACTTGAAACAGCAGTAAATAAGCTTTCCTGAAATGCATGTTTCCTCTCCAAGAAAAAGGAAAATGCTTTCAAACTAACATTAATTAGCATAAAATATCATCAAAATTTGAACTGTGAATTAAGTGATACCCAAATAATATAAAGTAATGAGGCAAAAAATTAACTAAAGAGGTTCCTTGATATATGGGCAAAATCTCCATAAAAATTGGTTGGAAAATAACAAATATCGCAAAAATGTTTACGGATTACTTACCTCGATTCTTCGCTAGGATTTTCCAGTTTTCTATCTAATTCGGATTCCTCACCACTAGAGATACCACCATGCTCACTTCCATCATCGAAAATCATCTCTAAAGCCTTAGCTACGCTTTATCTCTAGCGTTTCGCATCGGACGCCACTAAAGCAGATTGAAATCGTACGCAAGTGATTTTCGAATCGGGCTCCTGAGGTCACGTTTGATAGTTCGGAGCTAATGTGATTGGCTTAGAATGTGTACATGCTACAGCCGGAATTTCAGAGCGATCGGATGTAATCCGAGTATTTCCGAAAAGGTCAACGTCATCATGCAATTTTGCACGATCGGCCTCAGGGCTTGACCACGAAGAGTTTTAAGCAAAGACGTCGGTCAACACCTCAAGCCGATAAATAACTTATTAATCCTCTCTTTTCTCTCTCTCAAATCACTTTGATTGACAGAAAAATATTGGTCTCAGAATGAATTTGTATAAGCAATGGTGTCATCACGTTGGTTGACAAACGGCCTTTTTTTCATATTCAAAAGTTGACCGAATCACGAAGAGACGAATGTTAGATAGAACTACAATGGATTCTATTGCGCCGTCAATTGCGACGCGAAGTGGAAAGTCCTTTTGATAAAGGGGTTAATATAAGTTTTTGGTGTTGTGTTGGTAGGGCCAATACAAAATAATTTGAGTTTATCCAATGAGCTGATGATGTGAATTGTACACCGTAAAGACATTACAAAGTCGACGTTTTGAGCGCTGGCCTTTCGTCAGAGCAAATGACCAAGGGCTAACGCTTGATAGGTCAGCGTTATGATGTCTCTCTGAAAGTCTTATTACCCTTGGAAATTAGAAGTGATATCCAAGTTTGGTTTTGTTTTGGCATCAGGTCAGAGTGGTGACGTCATGAAAAACAACTGGAAACTATTCCTTTCATGTGCTTTGATCCTGGTTATTCTACAGCCTCTCTTTGGCCTCCCCGCCCTAAAACGGAAACGTCAGAAATATAAAGTTTTAATCCTCGGAGCCGGTTCTGCTGGCATTACAGCTGCTAAAACGTTGTACGATAGAGGCATCAGGAACTTCCTCGTGTTAGAGGCTCAGGATTACATTGGAGGGCGAATGAAGTCAGTGCCCTTTGCTGGTATGAAGATAGAGGAAGGAGCGAACTGGATTCACTACGTGGAAGAGAAGGACAATCCCCTTAATCGATTGAACAAAAAGTACAACTTGACGGGACATCTGTCCAATTATAGCGATTTCTGTATGCGGTAAGTTGACTCATATTTATAATCATTATCATCACTATTCACATTATTTCCGATTCTAGACACTAGTGTCTAGTACTGTCTGTTAGGTTTCCATCACAATGGCTCGTGTATCTTCTTAGTGGCCTTTCTCGCCCAGTCGTCCAACCAAAGACAGCTCACTTCCATACTCAGCACCTTCTTCGCCATGTAATCTATTTGCACGTCGTTTGACTCATACATCGGTTTGAGTTCCATCCGTGGGTACCACGGATGGACATAGTCGGCAAACTTGACGTCCCTCAGTACTTCAAAGAACAGCACTTTTGGTGCAGCGTTTTTATTGTTCACATATTTGGAGTGCGTCAGCGATGAACGGCCCGGCAACACGCGAGCATGGCTTTCTGGTTCCTTTTCGCATATTCTGCACATGGCGCTTACTTGTTATGACGTAATCGTCCTAGAGGCCAGGAAAAACTTGGATTGGCGAGAACTATTCGTAAGGCTCGATTGCGCTTGTCATGGCTTGCGTCAGAGTGTACGCTCAACCGCTCGATCTCAAGCTCGATCAGCCACGTGTATCCAGCTGGCTATTATATTATCGACAATATTATTATCATCATCACCATTTTTATATCATTCACAAATTTTCCGTTACAGCCCTTTCCTAGTTATCTCGGCCAAAATACTTATTATTGCAATAAATTAATGTCAATGATCAAATCATTTTCTTGCACAGAGATGACTTTGGGAACGACATCACTAATTTGAAAACGTTCCATCTGTGGGAGAAAGTTCGTGACGAACTGTTTGCAGAGGGGGAAAAAGGGGATGAATCGGACTCCCCACCCAGGGACATGCCTGCCTCTGTTTACCTGAAGATGCGCGGATGGCGTTCAGATTCCCCGGTGAAGAGGACTTTCTCCTGGTTCGACATTGATTTCGAGTACGGTGGAGATGAAACTGTTACATCCCTTAATAACATGGGTTTTCCGGGAGAAGATTTCTTTATCACTGACCAGAGAGGATACTGGACCCTCTTCAGTGACTTTTATATGCGGTTTAGGGAGAAGATTTTGCTAAATAAGCCTGTTACCAAGATCTACTACTCTGATAACAGCGTTACAGCCACCACAGCCGATGGAGATGAGTTTATTGCAGACTACGCCCTGTCAACCTTCAGTTCTGGAGTGCTGGGCAGTGGCTTGGTTGAGTTTGACCCTCCTTTCCCCAAATGGAAGTTGGAAGTAATATATCGTTTCCGTCCAGTTTACTTCACTAAGATTTTTCTTAAGTTTCCGCGAGATTTCTGGGATGATCACGAGTGGATTATGCACGCTGGCAAGAAAAAGGGCGAGTTTCCAACTTTCTATGACCTAGATCGACCTGGTTTCTTCCCTGGCACAGGTGTTTTGTTTACATCGGTGACTGGTGATGAATCACTCAGAATTGAGGCGCAAGACAATTCCAAAACGATGATAGAAGTGATGGCCACTCTGAGGAAAATTTACGGCGAAAACATTCCTAACGCTACAGGTAAGCTGGGTGTATTTTATCATCTTGGTTAGTAATCTTTGTATGACTTGATTCTGATCGGCTAGTAAGATATGTTCCGTAGACAAAATGAAAGAAGGTATAGGAGAACAGTCAGGATGTTTTTGGAACATGTGGATTCTATTTCATTTTTTTTTGTTTGTTTCAAGTGGAAAATGAAGTCTCTTTTCCAAGACGTCCACACCGTGAATTCTTGCTAATTTTCCTCCACTTTTGGATAGTCGTTTTAGTTGTTAAAACTAATCTACGCCAGTTACATCATGAAAGGGACATTTCTGTCATTGAATGAGTAAAGACCTATTTTATGCTTACAGTATCTGCTTGTAACTCAACTGACCCATCTAACTCCTTTAAAAATTTTCTTTGTTAGACATCCATGTCAGCAAGTGGTCACAGAATCCATATGTGAGAGCAGCTTGGACAGATCCAGTAGTCGGCACAAGTTGGGGCCACTATGACAACATGGCCGGTCGGCTTGGCAATCTCTTCTTTGCTGGGGAGAGCACCAGCTCTGAGTGGATGGGGTACGTTCAGGGTGGATACTTCACTGGCCAAGCTAAGGCCAAGGAAATAATCAGCTGTCTGAAGGGAAAGAAGTGTAAGCCATACCGAAAAGCGAAGAAATATGTTAAGTGAGACGTAACAACAGCGAATGACTGAGAATGTTTGTAAACGTGTGCTGGTGACCCTCAAATAAAAGGATTTCACTCCATCTGTGTAACACGTCTGTCTGACGATGATGCTTCCCAACAGAGCAATTTTCGATTGGCTTTGGTCGCTCCCGCCCTTCCTCCTCCCCCTCCCCTCTCCGCTCTCCGCTCTCTCCACAAATCAAATTCTAAAATGAATGAGAGTCACTTTTAATTTTCTTGCGTTTGAAATTGTTTGTTTTGCTAATTCTCGATTTAGAATATTTTCTTATGTTTTCATTGGTTGTTAGCGTGGCATCATTTTTTTTTTTTCTGGTTTCGTGGCATTTATTCAAACTGCGCGTTAAGAATTCAAACTTGGTTATTTACAAGATGATAAGCAAACAACACGAACCCAGTTGACGCCATAGGAATACTCGCTCCCTTTGGAAATCTTAGCCAGTTTTCTTTTGAAATGCGGTCAATGTTAAAAGTAAATTAACTTTCCTCTGATATATTTAATCATAGCAATATCTTTATCAGAACGGATCACATTAATCCTTTACACCCTAACATCAGTATTTATATTCTCCATACGGTTTTTTATACATTTCCAAAGATGCGGTGAAGGAGAATTTGTTTAACAATCAAGTGCTTCTTTAGTCAGTGATCGTTTCCTCTTTTCTCGTGACCTAAATGTTTGATTCAGGGGTGATATTGTGAGGAGAAATTAGATGTATATCACTGTTAGGGGTCAAAGGAGGGTCAAGAGTTTCAATTTTTTATACAGGCTTTATTTTTTAGGTGATTCCTACTAAGTTAGTTTTCCACTTTAATGTGCACAGCAACAATGTAGTATCATGATTATAAACTACTTCGACGTGTAGAACAATGACGCTTTTGTCGGAAAGGACTTTTAACTGTTTCTTTTTTGAGAGCTTTTTCCCTCGAAGAATGGTGGGAGGAAGTGGATGGTTTTATGCTGTTAGCTGTCCTTAACTCATGTCGAAGAAATTCCGGGGTGTTTTGCTCCGGGTGGCGAAGAATGATAAAAAGTTTTGGTGCAAAAATGCAGGCAAGCAAAGCGTACGAATTAACAAGAGCAGTTGAACATGATACCACAGCCACATACCACCCTCCTAAGGAAGTTTGTACAGGAAAGAACGCAATCCACGATAGCAGAAGGATATACATTGCAAAACCAATACAGCGAGCTTCGTTGAAGTTCTCGGGAAGGGTGCGAGCTTTAAAAGCGTAGAACGCACAAACAAGGCAAATAAATAAAAGATAAGTGAGCATAGCTATCTCCATGAACTGACCTAGACTCGTTCGGTAAGGAATGCACGTAATTATTATAAATTGTCCTTTTTCGATTTCAGTCTTTGTGAAAGGAGGATCCACTGCACCCCAGATAATTGCAAATATAACTTGAATCGAGTTTAACGAAATAACGGACACAAACTGCCCCAGCGAGTTGGCGCTGCTCTTTTTCAACCATCTTGCAACGTAAGTTATTTGAAAAGCTCTTAGTAGTTTCATGGTCTTTACTAATAGAACGGAGACACTCAATGATGATGTTATATAGCGCCAGGGTTCAATAACGGCGCAAATGGCCGGAGAGGGCTGCGAAATTGTCAACAATGGTAAAACAAATCCCGCGGCAATGTCGGAAAGCAAAATAAAACTCAGATCACGATTAGCAGCCTTTACAACTGGAGTGTGATAATGCCGCATGAAAAGAACCGTTGTAAGGAATGTAAAAACAAATCCCAAGATGGTAAAAATAGCGAAGATGATTCCAGTCATGCTATTCCAATGGAGATTTTCTATTGGTAGGTCTACACATGTGGTTCTATTTTTATTTGACTTCTGCGTCCCAGAACACTTTGTACAGTTTGGTGATCCTTTGCGCGCATTTACCGCTCCATCAGGGCATTCAATGCATTGCCAACAACAAGAAACCGTCGTTGTTTGTCGTGTTCCAGGTGGACACGGCTCCAGACATATTGATTTTGGAATTTCGGATGTTTGACTGTTCAAAGTGCTGTTTCCATTGCTCCATTTAATTAAACTGCCATTAATTTCTAACATCGGATTTCCTTTAGCCTCCCAAAAACCTATTTTCATTTTGACATAGTTGCCATCAATATTCCTCTGAAAGCTGACAAAGTCATACACGGCTTGCAGAGGGTCGCCATTTTCGTCAAATCCAATTCGACCTGTTATTCCTTGAAAACTCACATTACGCAGGTACAAAAAAACGTCTGAAGATCGCACGAAAGGTTTTGTTTGAGGACAAGCTCCGTTTGGTAACAAACCGAGTGGTGTCTTGCATTTGTAGATCATATCAAGTGCGTGCGCGACTGCGTAAATAGCGTCAATTTGATATGGAATAAAGTCATCGGACATCTTGGAAAATACTTCATCAGTTATTGTTAAATTATCCTGACAACGCGTGTAACCCTGGATGTTATTGTTTGTAGAGCAGTTGAATTCTTTCCTCCAGATAATATCAAACCAAGGATTTATGTTCCTCCTTTCATAAGACGTTTTTGTGGTGAGATATTTAAGATACTCCTCGAAGTTTCTGTCTTGAAATTGCTTCGGTTGAATTCCTAAGTAAATTCCAAGGCTCATCAAATCGTTTCCGAGATATTCTGGAGTTTTAGTAGCCAATGAGTCGCTCATGATCCAAACCTTTCCGATGAGATTTTGACTGTGCGCTTCTTTTGCCAGATCCTTTGCGTGTGTTGCTCCGATCCACAAGATTATGACTTTGATGTTCTCCGCCCGTTTAAGTTTTGCAATAACAGGTTTTAACTGACTATCATATTGAGTTGGTGTGATGTATTCCACTAATCCAATACAAAAAGTCTGTCGTCGAAAAGATTCTTGCTCAAGCGCACGAAAACCGTACAGTCCGTACGAATGTTCCACAGCGATCACCGCTACGTATTTCCAGCTGAAGTGTTCAATAAGATCCGCCATTGCCCTTGCTTGAAAACCATCCGGAGGAACTGTTCGTAAGAACTTTTTATAAAAGGACCAGCTGAGTTCTGCGCTTGTTGCCGATGGGCTTATAGCCGGAATGTTCACAACTTGAAGAAGTCCTGCAACTTGAAGTGAGTTCCGTGAACCGTAGGGCCCGACTATGGCAGCAATTGGTAAGGTTGTGTTCCTTTTAGAGATAGAGCATTGCGCACAAGCGCTGGAATTGCCGACAGGGTGGCCATTGGAGTCTTCGACTATTTCCAAGAAATGGATGTGTGTGCTGAAATCGTAAGTATGTTCCATTGCTTTTGCTCTGTCCATGCAATGATCTCGAATATCATAACCAAGTTGAACATTCGGGAGGATATTTACGTTTTTGTTAATTTGCTCAATAGTGAATATCGCAGCCTCGACGCGTATTATTCCAACGAGATGTACGTTTCGGCAACCTTCTTCCGAATTCTCCTGATGTGCGGCCAGAAGGCTTCCAATAATCACGTCGCCATTTTTGAAAATCCTGTCAATTGTTTCTTGTAAGTTTGTCAAAGGATATATCACGTATAAAAGGCAAAACGCGAAAACCAGTCGTGAAAAACCAGCCATAATTAATCGTCCCCTCCTCGATACTTATTTTTACTTATTAAATTGTTGAGCTAAAATCGCCAATATTGAGCCAAAAAAGCAAACAGAATGTGATACCCTTGACATTTTTCTGACAAATCTCAGTAATTAGCATTTCTATCTTGCTTATATTTTGAAAAACTGTTTGCTGGTTTTACAAGAGAAAGGGGAAATTAGTTTTCAATATAGCACCTTGCTGTCTTCATTTGCAATTTATAAATGAAAAAAAGGTATTGTTATCATCTTTGAAATCGGCTAGTTCGTTATGACAAGTCAATCCGAGCGGGCAAAAAACATTATAATAATCTATGTTTTCGATGAAAAAAGAGGAATCGGCTGAGCAATTATCATTAACACTTCCATTTATGTTTACATAAAAAAATAACTTGTCTGCTTGGAATGGAATAAAAAGAAGATGTTTCATGTAGCGCCAAAAATAGAAAACTTACCTTTGTGACTTAAAATGAAGTATTAGTGTGCTAAACCTGACATGATAGTTTTAAAAGAGAATTAAAGGTATTTCTAAGCAGAAAACTTGTGATGCAATATAAAAGGAATCAGAGGAAAAATCGTCAATAGGATCCAGGCAAATATATTTAAACTTAAATTTCCGCTCAAGGGTTCAATGTTTTATTAATCAGTTATTAGATTACTACAAACAATGTATGAATTATATCGTATTTTGACTTGAACGACGGACAGATCGTGTGAGGTAAACTTAAATTATAGAAATTTAAGCCGGAAAGTAAAATTAGGCTTCGAAAAGAAGCTCAATTGAGCGCGATCCTTTCAGTGATTGGACACTGGGGCCTGCTGGGCTACGCGGCCACATGTTGGGAGCGAGGAGAATTTCATTCAAATTTAACAATTTTCAATTTTTTTTCCCCATATCAATAAACTTCTGCTGCCCTTTCATTTGATTGAATTTCTTACCAAGCACGAATAACATGACCGATAACTGCGTGCTTTACGCTATGCGCTTCTATTTTTTTTTTTAATCAGCCAATGAGTTTGTTAAAATGCGTTCAATTACTCGGAGGCAATTTGGCAGGAAAGTAATCAGTTAATATTTAATGTAAAAAGCTGTTTTTCATTACAATGATAGGCGATGACAGCATGCCATAGAAATACTTGATAACTAAGTCCTATATTTTCCTGTACAACAAAAAAAACTTCTGATCGCATCATTCAAGATCTAAATCGAAAACCATTCAAAACAAAAAGAATTGCTCGCGTCTCATATCTTGTTTGCTCTTATTTCCATACGCGATTAGCACACGATATTTTGAAAACGATGCCAGATTTTTAATGGCGGGATCTCGCCTTAAAATGTGATCAATTTATTTTTGCTTTCACATTTTCTCCTTTTTGAATTTAGCAGGAATTTTCCCTCAGTAAAATTAAAATACATGCCAACTTCGAGTGCACTATCAAGAACAGCTTGAATAGCTAAGTAAGCGTAGTGAATATTATTGTGGTGATATCGAAAGAAATCATACAAATACAGTCGCCAACGCTGAAGTACTCCTGGGAAGGACGAGTTGTTTCGCATCTTTGACTGCAAAGTCTTTTTCCTATGACAGAAACAGCCATTAAAAACAAAAACAACCGAAACAGAACATGTGTTCTGACCTCTTCCAAACCGGAGAGAGAAACTTAAGCTATTCAGTTTTTTACAACAACTGACTGAGGGAGATGAGAGGAGAGCTGGGGAGAGCTAAAAATTGCTAATCTTCTCAGCGCTCTAGAGCGCGAGTTAATTAAGAACTAATGTTTACTGAAAACGGAGATCAGCCATGGTTATCAAGCTGAATAAATAAGCAAGAAATCGGTGTTTTGTTTAGTAAACATATGGAAGGCGTCTGCAAAATGGCAGTGACTGTTGTGAAATAGGCTTAATTGAAAATTTATAAGGTGTTCTGAATATTTTGGGGCTCATATTTGCCGCGAGTCCTTCCTTAAGGTTTTCTGGATTTTCTCTCTCCATTGTCCGATCAGGACACGGTGAATGAGAGGAATCGGTTCATGGATGTCCACTACCAAACTACAACTTATTTGTTTTATCAAACTGAGTTTCAGATCACTGTTTTTGAGCGAATGAGAGTTGTCAGGGTTACAGGCAAAAAGACAATCGACGAGCAAGGGTTTTAAAGTTTTCCAACACTCGACTCAAGCAGAACTGACCATACCCAAATAGATCGAAATTCTTGACCAACCGCCTCCCAAAAAACTTGGAATGCATCTTTAGTGAGAGGAATTCCTCACTTATCTTGAACTTTTTCAATATACCAAGACTTTCACTTCGAGCAATGACTGCCGGACAAACAACAAAGTGAAACTGAAACAATAGGGCACGAAAGCTTCCTTGCGTGTTTGGTTTACTTGCCCCCCACTTAAAACCAGCCGGCAAAGTCAAATATAATTTTTTTAGAGGCTGGTGTCAAAGTCTCTTATAAAACATTTTACTAAAACGCAATCGAAACTCTCGATCATTCCCACTTCGGTTGCTATTCGCGAATTCAGTAATTTGTGTAACTTTCTTTTTCGCTTATTACCAGATGGGTCCCATGTCTGACATGTGCTTTATAAACAAAATAATCAGTCGGTGAAAATAGAGTTTAATACGATGACTTTTAATTCAACCGAACTACTAAAACTTCTGATGGTTTTAATGTCAACTTAACATGTACAAATACGTTATGCAAAACTTAATCGAGGGTTGCACGCCCCCTAAAAAGTCGAAACTTCGCGATATGATTACGATGTATCCAATGCCACCTATCGTTTTATTATTCTCACAGCCAAAATACAACCCTCAATAGACGAAAAATCGGTTGTTGATGGTAACCTCAATAACTCACTGGAATGTGTCACTGTACGAATAAATCAAACGCATAAATCTTGACAACCATTGACAACGTACATAAATAATACGTTTTAGAAGAGATAAAAGACCAGATAAAGACAAACCTTCAGTTAAGTGACCACGATGGCGAACAATACTTTAAGGTCAGCCTTGTTCACTTTAACTGTCATTGCAATTTCTTTTGTCGTTCTGTACGTAGGTTGGATTAACTTGATAACTATGCGTATTCGAGGTAAGATACATTTTAATCTTCCTTCGAGTAAAGAGCTCGAACATTATTAATGTGATTTCAGTGAAATTCTTGGCCAAAAACTGAAAAAAAATTTAGTTAGCCTTGATCGGGCTTTTACTGAATTTGTTTCGAGATGAAGTCGGCACATGTAGTGTGTACTTATCAAAACGTTTTACTGATCAATTTATAGTGGACCCTCAAAACAATTATACTCTGTGAAAGTGAGAATGTATAGTTTATATCCACTCAACAGAAATTCAAAAGCAATAAATATGAAACCTCAACAAAGGAGTTTAATGGGAATTTTAGACAAGATTGTTTTTTTTAGCGGAGCCTTTTTTAATTACCATCCGGCGCGCAAAGAACAATTAAAAAAAAACGGACTGTAGTTCCTGTAAAATATGTTAACTTTGACATTGACTTTTAAGTCAGATACAGCGTCTGATCTTGTTGTTGTTTATATCTTGCTTCTCACATACACAAAAGCACCAAAAAATCATCATAAGAGCTGGAAGGTTATTTTTTTAAGCTGCTAAAAAATATTGTTAACTTTTACGTTACGTTAACTTTAAAGTCAGACTGATAAAGCGAAAAATCTTCATCTTGTTTATGTCCTGCCTCTCATATATACACCGACTAGAAAGTAGGATTAGGAAGGTAATGTTTTAAGCTGCTGAAGAATACATTTGTGTGACACAAGTTGACTAGACAAGGAATGGAAAAGAGAGCATGAAATGAATAATTAGCAGAACGAACATTGCCTGTGGCTAAATGAATGTTAATAAGATCGTAAATTTAATTGCAAGCTGATTTATATAACTCTCTGTTAACCAGCAGCCCAAACGAGACCAAATTATCTTGTAACAATCCTCACCGACGCAACACCCAGTTTCTTTGACAACTTAATTTTTTTTTCAACATTTTTACGATTGTAAATTTTTTTCTAAGGTTTACACAATCGCACAGAATGGACCGTAATCAGAAGTAGAATGGTTCAGGTTTGGTTTTTCCTATTACTTTTTCAAATTGATGTAATTGATAACTTACCTCGGAGGTCCACCCACATAGCACACAAGAATCCAGAGAAAGACTAAAATTAGGGGCAGCATAAACTGATCGACTGTAAGTTATGTTAGCAGACGATTCAGCACTGTCATTGGCATCGCTAGCAAAGTAATTTTAACCCTACATTGTAAAAAATAGTAGATTGAGTAAGTTATACATTTTTTGCAAGCAATTATTCACATCGCAACGAATTAACACCGCGAGATGAGTAGAAACAGCCAGGGCCAGAACATGATAACTCCTTTACGCCAAGTGATATGTACTTTTCATTAACTATATAATGAGCCTTTCCTCTTTTATGCGATCATTAGGCTTCAATATTTCTTTCTTATGTTTTTCCAGCAGCCAAATGACGAAGGATCAATAGAGTCTATGAACCTAAAGAGACTGGCAACGATCAGGGACTTCTGCAGAAGGAATAATAAAACCAACGAGTCCCTGAAGGATATCTCGAAACTTAACATCATCGTTAATGAAGAGTATAAAATATTATTTTGCTACATTCCAAAAATTGCCTGTACTCAATGGAAAAGTGTCATGGCAAGTCTTTACGGTCCACAACTTAGGTACCCTGGGATCCACGATGCAAGAAATTTTAATTTTCTGAGTAACTATCCAGCAGACGAAGTCAAAAGGATGCTGAAAACATACTTTAAGTTCGTGTTTGTTCGAGAACCTTTCGAGCGGCTTTTATCTGCTTACTTGGATAAATTCCTACGAGGTGAACCCGCGTTTCACCATAATTATGGAAAACGCATTATTACGCTGTACAGACCGGGAGGTAATCCAGAAGATAAAAACGTCAAATTCGACGAATATTTAAACTACGTTCTACACATCGGGGACGGATACTGGAACGAGCACTGGCAAACTTACAACAACCTCTGTCAGCCCTGTGGTATTTCTTATGATTTCATTGGACACTTCGAAAATCTTGAAGAAGAGGCTCAATATGCTTTAGAAATATCTGGTGTAACAAAAAAGGCGAATGTCTCATTTCCTTCGGTCAAACCATCGCTAACCTCATCACAAGTTCCATTTTTCTACAAACAAATCCACAAGGAGCGGCTTTACGGAACTATGCAGTTATTTGGACCAGACTCTGAAATGTTTGGATATGACTTGCCAAAATCATTTTATAAAATCATTTCTGAACTCAGCCAGCAGAACAGAACGAATGACGATCCCTAATAAAAGTTGTGGAAAGAGAAGAATTGGTAGGAATCGCTCAATAGAGACTTTGCTATTGGGCTCCGCATCTTGGCTTTAAACACGAGAACTCCGCAATGAAAACATTCCCATAATAGTTCATTCCCTACCTCTGGGGCGAGTTTCTTCCTTAGGTGATGAAATGGAGTGCCAAAAAAATAATTTTGTTCTGTTCAATCGCATTTTTTATTTTTTTCATGTACTGTAGATAAACTGGCACTGACTGAAATCGAGAACTTTCGACACCAACAATTATTTACGTACATCATATTCAGTTTTAGGAGCCATGCAGTTTCCTAAACTGATAGCTGTTCAAATCGCAAAAAAATTATGATAACTGTAATAATAATAAAAGTAATAATAATGATGATGATAACAATAACCACGTTTATTTTTGGACTTAATTCAAGGTTTCTGCATCTTTTAATGTGACAGTAACTTCTCATCGTTTAAATCCTGTGTGGGGCGCTACGAATTTCCTTTTACACATTCCCGCAAGTACTGAATTATCAATTTACCTACAGCCGCGAATTCCTGGAAGAGGAGGGTTGAGGCGCGTGGGAGAAGGGGGGAGGGTTCCTACTTACGTTTCACTTGCATCAAAAGGTGGAAATAACGCGTCACAGAAAATCAGATAAACTCTATAGTCCATGTATCGCCGTGAAAAGCATCTCGCAATAACCCCTTTCTCCCCTCATTGAAGAATGCGCTTCAACCTTTACAACAAAAAACTGTCTTTGCGTACTTCATGTATTCACGGCGAAAATACTTGGTTATTGTTCCATAGACTATGGGATGGACACAGGCATGCAAATATGCTGCTATGTCAGCCATTCTCAGGAAAATGTTCCAGAATTCCTTATCTTTATCGGCTCCAAAGTCCGTCATGAGCCAGGCGACTTGGATTGGCAACATACAGAGAGCAAATAATATCACAATCAACCCCATCATCTTGATAATTTGGAGATCTTCTTTTCTTCTCGCTTCTAAAGCAAACCTATCCTGTGCGTTGAAATCATGCCGCTCTTTCGCTTTTCCTATGTCGATTCCAATCAACATGTAGGCGCCCGCAATGATTGTCAGTGGTAGCATATACTGCAGTGTAAAAAGGATCAATGTGTACACGCGGCTTTGATAAGGTTTCCAACTCTCTCGGCATCCCCCAGTCTCGTCATTTTCAGCCACGATCACGAGCGGAAGCAAAAGCAGACAGCCAGCGATCCAAATAACAATGATCCAAGCGATGACGTGTCTATGACGCATTTCCGGTCGTAGGGAATTGACGATGACGCGCCAGCGATATACAGCCATGAATGTCAGTGTAAAAATACTGACGTTGAAGGTGGCTGTCATAAAAGGAGAGACAATCTTGCAAAAAAACACCGGAAAATCGATTCCACCAAGGAGAAAAGTATTCAACGGTAGAGACAAAAGCATCAGTGTTAAGTCAGATACTGATAAGTTCAAAATAAGGAGATCGTTCACCGATTTTCGCTTTCTCTTCCACAGTACCAGGGGAACAACAGAGTTTCCTCCGACGGCAACAGTGAAAGTAATCACGTATAAACCAAGTTTGATGTATTTCTCTGTCTCAGTAACAGTGGAAAAATTTGTTGGGTGACCCATTGATGTCTGTATTCCGCGCGATTTCAAATCCAATTTTACGACTTGTAGCCTTAACCTTTCCCAACAAATCAGTTTGTTCCGTGCATCTTCTGGTGGGGTTTTTGCAGACTTAATCTGTTTAGATCAGCGCATAGTGATGATACTACACTGGAAAAAAAAAAAAGATTAAAAAATATTTCAGAAGTCAATTGAAAAAATTCTCAATCAAAAGGAGACGCGGATATTTCAATAACCAAACAAAGATAAGGTCGTGAAGGCATTTTCCAGACACCGTTAAAAGACACCATGCAGTCGTTTTTTTTGTTTTTTAAGAAATCATGTAGGAGTTGGTCGATCTTTGGTTTAAAACGTTTATAAGAAAATTCCGTTATTCTCCCTTAAAGACAGACCTTGTAACAGTAATGAGTACACAGTCAGGCCGGATGAAAACATACTATGTTGATCTTGTTCCATCATCACTTCAAAAAACAATTCTACACGAAGGAAACGCCAAGCCCCTAAAATTATTCATAGCTCATCGGGTTCTGATTCTAAGCATAAAGCTGGATGTTTCCGTTCTAAAATTAATTTTTGCAATAAATTTTTAGCAGTGACTTCGGTCAAATAAAATTTTTAAATCTTTGCTATTGAAGACCGCAAATGGTTATTAAAACTGTGATTCCAGCCAACATCAGCACACACTTTCTAAGCATTAATTCAGAAAGTCAAATTGAAAAGCTGAGTAAAAGCACAACATACCTCTCTGTAGTTTAAGTCAAGTTTAAACTGTTAATGCAGCTTCGTGACTTCGTCGCTGATGCCTTCAACGATAAAATGGAACAAAACAATCGGGCTTCTCTTTTATTAATAAACTGTTTTCTACTAACCAATACGACTGCAGTTCCATTATTAAATTCAGGTGTAGTATCAACATAGTTAAAAATGTTTTCCCCACTATAGCATCTGCCGATTTATATTGTGTACATGACGCACAGATATTGAGGTATTTTATGTTTATTATGCCTAGATAAGAGCATTATTTTTTTCTGCTAGATGAGAAGTTATTACATTTTTTCATTACGTTGGCCGTGTTACGCAAAGAACAAATATTACATCTTAAGTTTTATGTAGCTAAAGGCAGTGAGGTGTTCAGTCGTACAGTAGCTGAAACCTCAAAGTCTACAATTATTTTCCGGACAGTTTTTCCAATACTTTTTCTTGGAAAGTAATGTTATTTTCTTTGGCCCGGATAGACATTAATTTCTTTTGAGAACAAGCATTCAAACATTCCGAGTAGAAAATGAATTCGCTGCAGTCGTAGCCTAAGAAAAATATAAATAAACATCAATAAATAGAGAGATCTTACGAATAAAAATAAAATTTATGAGCTAAATTCACCTTAGAAGTTAGAAGTCATGACATATCTCTCACTAGTTTTATGAGATCTAACAGAATCGTGCGTTAAAGCAAATGTCGCCGCAGCTTCTCATGTCATCTCAGACAATTGACCAGAGGGATTTCTAATGAACTTTATGCAAAAAGACTCTGATTTCGTGTTGAATTAAGCTCTTATCCTTTGCCTCAGGGGATAAGAATGTAAAATAAGGATGTTATCTTTATTGCCAACCGGACACTGAATGTCGTAGTTAGCAAATGAAAAGAAAAATGGAAAGTGTATTACGATGCCTCGATGATTATTATAAATTTATTAATAAAATGTGGTGATAGCAAATGCTTCTACAATGTATTATCACATAAAAGAGGTAAAATTTCTTATATAATTGAAGTGTTCAATTGAAAAAAAGAAAAACGCGTCGAACTTGTCTTGAGAAAGTGATGGTAGTAACGTTTTTTAGCAAACAATGAGTGGAAATAACAACTATTAATCGGAGGCATCGTTTGCAGTGTATTTGAGTTTACCACTCAAACCTCGACTCTTGGAATGGTATGAATAAATTCAGTGATATGAGAAATACTAGCTGGTGACAATGTCTGTCTAGAACAAAACCGACTCCTTCATTAAGAGTTAGGCTAACTTGCTGACGTTAGCAAAACAAAGAACCTCACTCGACGTGTTAGGCTTTCAAAAGCATACACTCGAGAGACCAACAGAGAATTGTTGTAAATTATTGATTTTTTTTTTTTTTTTTTAACTAAATATAACATTTTTCATTCTGGTTACTTTAAAAGCTGCTAATGGATAGGTTACTTAAACGCATTTTCTTGGTCTGAATTTTTTTTTTCCTGTAGACGTTTTTAAGGAACTTTAGGCTCGAGGCGCAAACTTGTCAAAGAAATGTATATGCATGGTTTCTAGGAAGCTCTCCATGTGGATTGCGCGAGTCGTGGGCGCTGTTTTTTTATCAACAGGAACTTCATTTGATGAAAGCCACTGTAACCATTTCAACGTTAACTCTATGCAAGGATAAAAAAACTTAAACAAAACCTTACTAACTTACTTTACCGATACTAGGCTCCCTGCATAAAAACTGAAGCGGCTTTTATTTTTGTCATCGGAAATAGTCTCTAAAAATATCATAATATTGGACTCAGAGATGGTTAAATTGAGATTTACGGAAAGCCAGGTTTGGAACACAAGGTACTGAGACAAATTCGCCTTTGAAGTCGTTAAATAAGCACCGTGATCAAGCAAATTACTAAAGTACTAAAATTTATCCGAAGATATTTCTCGCATGGCTTCAAATGTCTAAATGGAAATTTTAGGTTGCCTGAGTAAAATGGTATGACTGTATCACAAAATGTCGATATATGGTCTATCATGTTCACGCTGATCACGCAAAATCGCACAAGTTGTGTTCCCGCTGGGTATTCTGCATGGCATAACGAGCACAACGGGTTCTTTAGGAAAGTCTTTAAAGGATGAAGAATGAAAGGATGAAAAATTGAGATTTAGCCACGATTCAAGTTTATGCCTCTATAACATTAAGGCGTGTTTTTTGAAGGAGCTAGCACTACTGCGCAACATTTACAGTCGTATGAATAGCCGCCTGGTTTGATTTCTGTGCTCTAGGGATCCAAGATGGCGGAAAGAAAGCTGAGTGTTCGCTCGCCCTGAACTATGGCTGATTTGAAAGTTACTTGATGAAGCCCTAACTGAGCAAACAGGCTGGAAAAAAACGTTTCCAAGGGTAAACTGTTGTGTAAAAAATAAATAACGTGGACTTTGCATGAAAGCAGTTAAGCTGAAAATTGGGCTGTAACATCCGAAATCGCTTTGTTAAAAGCTACACTCCTATTCAAAGGAATATGAATTTCTTTTTCCACATTTTCCTTGTGTCACCGACTCTAAAAAAGGTCATCATAAACAGTCACAAAGTTAGATAAGCATCACATTCGTCTCAATTTAATGAGCGCTTGTAAATTTCTTTTCCGATCAATGATTAAAATTTCATTCATTTCTCTGTTGTCACAGAGCGAACAAAAAAACTTTTTCATTTTTCTGAAATGAAGAAAACAATAACACGGTTGCTGTGGGTGGAATTAATTACCTTTTTTTTTTCTCCAATTAATGCTATTTTTTTACAAAAATAGAATAACTCAGGGTCCATTTTTTTAAGTTCACAAAGCAGAATTTGATTTGTTCAATAAAATCTACGACACATTATTCGTCAAAGTGCTGCATTTCATTCTCGACGTAAAAAGTATGTGAGCGTGATATTAATGAGTTTGATTACTCAACTGAACACTCCAATAAAAAGTAGAAGAAAATTCCCTTTTATAAGTCTTTTGTGTTTCACGTAAATAAAACTTATTTATCTAAACTTAAACAAAAAAGGCCAGAGTTTTACTCGATTAGAAAATCATCAGATTTCTATCACTGCGTGACATTGCAAACTTTTATATAAATGTTTAAAAATATGTTCAGATATATTTTCTTGATTTGTTTCATGTTTCTCATCAGACCATGCTCAGTAATTTAATTTTCATGACTGAACATTGTCTAACGCACGTAATATTTCAAGCCCAAAGAAAGAGTTGGGAGTTTAAAATAAATCTCATCACGATGAAGGTAAAGCTAGATCTTATCACCTTCAATCAACCGAACATCACTTACGTTGGTGATTAAAAACGTGAAGATGTTTTGCTTTAACAACTGGGTATTGCGCCTCGCTTTCATTTGCTCAAAATTTCAGCTGAGGTGAAACTATGCTTCTCATGGAAAAGTTAGCGAGATGGCTGTTAAAACCGAGTCGTAAGGTAACTACAATCCTAACCTAGTAAATAAAATAGCAATAAATGAATATGTAAACAACTGAATCCATCAGCTGTAAAGTGATGTTGATGAGTGCCTTCACCTGCGTTTTACAATTGGGATGACCCCCTTGTGCGACTGCGTGTGTACACAACGTAATTCCTTTTGACTGGCTCATTCTATTTAAAGAGTTTTTATAATATTTTTGAGGCTTCCTCTGACTTTTCCGAGCACGAAAAACGTGATGCGAAGATCTTCATCCCCAATCCCTAGTCAGCATTTCACAAATGAAAATTTGTCATTATAAATCCCTGCTGTCGTTTCACAACGGCAAACGATTTATGGGGATATGGCATTTACGTTATCAACTCAGTTGATAATACCAAATTACCCTGTTCTGCTCACTCTCCCACCGACGCAGCACAACAGTTTCTTTAGGAACTTACTCTTTTTATTCTTTTATGGGAATAGATTTTAAAAGCGTCATAATGAAACTCTGATCCGAGACCAAGAAATGACTTATTATATCTGCAAACCTCTGTTGGAGTCTGTTTATATTAAGGATATCGAAAGATCGCGAATATGAGCGAAAAAAAAAAGTAAACAGTAAATCATACGTGGTACGTCAGTCGAAATTGATGTATGGTGTGGCCGGAATAATTCCATGCGACGCTTATGCTCAATGTCATTTGAATTTTCATTGAATTTTTACATTTTAATTTTAACTTTAGTTCGTTCTGTTATGTCCAATCTAATTCCCAACGTAAAAATAAAACTTCCAAAATCAGCCCGAGTTAAGATGGATGAAGTTACCAGAGACAGCGTCGTCATAGGACATTTTTGTGACAAACAGAATTACCTTTAAATTTAAATGTCAACCATGAAACAAAAATACTAACGAGGCATTGAATGATAACAAGGGTATTACGGGAAAAAAAAATTAACTGAAACGGTTTCCAAACAACGAAATACAAAAGATACACGAAATGTTTTCAAGATGTTTAAAAGTGACGTGAGTGCTTTACACTTAGCTTTGCGTTGGAAGGAAATTAAAAATTTAGCTGGTCACTTCACTTAGGTTGTTTGCCAGCATGTAGCCACGAAATTTAAATTTCGACGCTCAGAACCCTCTCTAATTGACCACGTCAATTTTTTTTTTGCGCTATGGAGAATTCTTAACGCAAGATTTTCTCTTAGTCAGTGCTTTGAGCACGCTAAAAAAGTAAAATAAAGGAAAAAAAGTTACGTGCTGTAAATAGATGTTTCTTTCAATTCTGTGTTGCATAGAAAAGTGTCAAACTTAACATTTGCGAAATGACGTAAATAAATGTTGACAATCTCTTTATTTCTTTGCTAATCTCAGGGCTGATGAGGTTTGACAAATTTACAATGGTGATAATACCTCTGTTTGTTCAACAAATATGTTTGTTGACGCGAGTGCCGATTAATAGTACCAATCTACCGTCGATCCATCACTTTTTCATTGCAAAAGTACACTAAGTGTTCGCTCTTCGTGCAGCTCTACCAAGATCTTACTCTTAGGATTTGAATTAGAAGGTATGTATTGTGTGATTTTGTTAACACCTAAAGTTTGTGAGAAATGTTAGCAATTCTTCTTCAGAAAATATCAACCGAATTATTCACCTCAGACGAAAAGCAGCAAAATCACAGCCTTTCTCCTTGTCACGAAATTAAGTTTTCGAAATAACGCTTCTGCCTCTGGGCTATTTGCAGTCTTTGACTTCGAAAATACGAAATATTTCGAAGGTTAGTCCTAAAAAAGAGATAATCTTTAAGATCTTGATATTACATCATTCGCGATGGCCCCCGAGTTCGCTTGGAAATCATAATATCCTGTGATAAGATAATACTCTATGTTGATCCTATGACTACAGTTCACGCACACACTTCGATATTTTACACCGATTTGCATGTAGATTCATAGATTTATCTGATTTGCAATGGAGATTAGTTTTAAGAGTGTGAATAATGCAACACTCAGATCAGCGTAAAAACCTATTTGGTTATTTAACAAAATATTCCTTGGTATTCATAGCAATTTAAACACGGAGAAAACTGTTTACTAAACATGAAACACTACTCTACTTAAAATGGCTAATAATGAAAACACTGCGCATGGAAAGTTTTACAGGCTACTTTTTATTTCAGGTTTGTTATCTTCTTAACCCTTTGACTCTCAAGATCTCATTAGTAATTCTCCTAAATCTCTGCCAAATGATTCTCATCATGTTAGTTTGGAGAATGTGGTACTGGATCAATTGGTAATCCCATAATTGATATTTTTCTTTATTCTCATCACTTGTTCGCATGATATTGTATTGATATAGTGAGGAGAAATTCTGTCTTGGTCACTCACAGGAGTGAAAAGGTTAAGAATCAGGCGTGCCAAAAATAATCTGACCCATCAAAAAAACGGAAACAGATTTATTTTGTTTCATCTTATTCTCATAACAACCGCTTGTTATAACAGGACCTGTCACTCAACATTATACAAGTGTGTGCGTGTGGAACTGTTTCAACACTGTTATGGTTTTCAAAATATTTTTCGTGATCCCACGAAGAATAAGAAAGCTTGAGATGCCGAAAAGACCGGGAAAAATTGATTTTGTTCTTCTAACTATAGCTAAAAACCACAGATTTCGAAGATTTCAAATTTTATGAAAGTGAATGGACAATTCAAATCTTTAAAAAAGTCAAAATCACGTCAACCTGTTGTCATCTCGTATTTGATTAAGAGACGAGGATATTGAAGATCAAATAATTCCAAAAGCTTAGAGACTCCTTAAAGGGCTCAGAAACTATTCGGAAAAATTTTAAATAAATAATGAATTATGGAAATTGAACAACGAACATGCTTTTATCGTTTTTAAATGATCATTTCAAGAAAATTCTTTCCCGTGTCCTGCTTGCGGCGAGAAAGTCGATTAATACTAGTTCAGTTTGAACCAGATTGAGATCCTGTTGGTTTTACTCTAAAAGCTTACTCACCGGTCATATTATTAACTGTTATCCTACAATCTGAGCCCATTTTGCAAACCCTAAGAGAGCATCATTAATGCAAAAAACACAAGTGTTTTTTTCTCACAGTGCCTCCTTAGATGTGCTTAAAAAATGTGCTGTGTGTCGAGTTAAGTCAAAGGCAGATTGTTATATTTTCAAAGCGACCCAAATGCATATGATATGCTTAAAAGTTTTAAAAATGTAATTGGCATTTGACGGAAAATAAATAAATGCAATGCATTCTTAAAATTTTATGACCCAGCCAAAGAAATAATGCATTCATTTTATTCCCTGTCCTCACCGAAATCAGCTGTGGTTTTATGCACTCGGTTCAGATCGATTTACAAAAAACACGAACTGTGGTGTGTTTAATGGGGTAAATCGTAGCACATTTACCACCCTCTGAGTTCTTCGCAGAATTTTGAGAAATTCAGCATATATTAAACGTAAAGGGCTAAATGCCAAATTAAATGAAGGTAAAAATATTCTGCAGTAGACTGTGTTTCGAAGTTTCATTTCGTTTCCAATTCTTCCAATTAGAACTTAGCTACAGCTGAACTTACGTTTGAAAAATCTACAAAGATATGCAAATTAAATTCCTACCCCTCCAGGTCACAATTGTGAATAATATTCAAAATTGTCTGCCAAGTGAACAGAGGAAGTCTATCCGTTCGTGTTGATGTCTCTCAAAGAAGCAGTCGAAGGAAAGACGGGAATTCGATTCTCAACTCCACGTCTAAATATCACTACGAGGCGACCAAGAGATATGTCTTGTAATAGCCCTTCGGCATCTGTTTTACGTATTGATACCACGGGCCTGCCATATGTTAAATTCCCATCTGATAATACTGCACATCCTCTGTAAGAACCTAAAAGTTGTTTCCACTCTCTCGAGCAAACTGATCATGAAATCGAGGTTGACTTTTGGTTACGTGTCAGCAGCTGTTCACTAATTAGCTCGGTCCATACTCCCACCATACTCCATACTCCATACTCTATCCTTTGTAGAAAAATTTAAAAACCCAGTGTTGACCAGTATGCATTCTGCGCGGTGTTGGCCATCTGCGGCCGTTGACTCGATGCTGATTATTCCTCAAGCTTTGGAAAAACGGTACAAGCATCGCTCTCGTGAAAACCATAACAAAAACAGAGGTGCACAATCAAATGGCTACCACTGAGTCTTACAACAAGAATCTGCCGTCAGTTTAAGTTCGAAAGCCGGTGTAAACTATGCTAGGGATAAAAGTTTTTCTTCGTTTTAATGAACTCCCAGAAAGGCTAAGAGCCTTGAAAAAGGAAATTAACTTTGTGGACCCTCTCAGTTGCTAAAAAAGTTGCGATAACAGGTGTTACATTGAATTTCATGCGAAAGAAATAAACGTAAGCGTCTTTGAATCAAGTTTACTATTAGTGCTCCGAACAGAGAAAAAAAAAACATATCATGTACGAGATAAGAATCAAATGAAGTCAGCATATGAAGCAAAGGTAGATGTTGAGTCTATCGAGTGACGCGAAAAGCTTAGATAAATATTAATTTCTGTAGCTCATCATTCATTCTGGTCAATATTTTATCAGTTTCGTCAGACCATAAATGTACTTTTAAGTTTAGTCTAATTTTTCCTACTTGATACTTCAAGCGACGAGTACTAATAGTTAAAATGAAGCATTTATCAACGGCCTCTCGCTTTTAGTTTGCTTTTACGAGTCATCATGGTTTTATTTAACGAAAAGATTGTTCTAATAGAGAACCTCAAAGTTTAAGGGCGATTCTTAATTAAGCCAACTTCAGTATTTTAAAACGAGACTCACGTTGCCAGACACGAATACGTGCCAAAGTTATCAGTGTTCATCTTCGTTTGCGATAATTTTAAGCTTTATCAGAAGGACCGGGAGATAGACTGTGAAATTTATTTCTTAAGACCAACTTGCTAACCTTCCGCAGCTATTTTTACCACCCACCTCGTCTTGCGGTGTCTTTAATAATTACTGCACATCAGGTCTGCCAATCTTTATCGAAATCTTGTCGCTTTACGCGAAAAAAACTCCAGACAGGAACTGATGAATAATGAAGTAGTTAAACCTATTCCTCGTTACACCGAATGAGCACATTTTGACTGATTGCCATGAAGCCAAAACCAAAGTAAACACAAAAACCAATCAGGAAAAAGGATTCAAACCACGATGAGGACTCGATGCGAACTCCCGGCGTCAAGCGCGGGAAAATGTGCTTAGCTTCTGATTGGTTCTAGACGTCAATTCTGATTGGTTGCGGGGATGGCACGAGCTTTCCGTAGAGCAAGGTAAAGCGAAACCAAGGCAATCTTAGATTATCTTGGATTCCGTTCGACACTCTAGTGGAAATTGCGCTATTTCGCATCGTCAGCTAATGCACCCGTGTAGTGTTACATCCGACTTGTATTCGCCCTTGTTAAATTGGTTGAAACTGTTGAGAGACGAAATTAATTCAAAATGACTTGAAACGCATCAGCTAAAAAAAAAATTACCTAGTTCCTTCTTAATAATTTCTTATTATTGATTCTTTGTAATTTTTTTGGAGAATAGAGATATTCTTAGTAATTTTTCTTTATATTTGCGAAGTTACTTCGTAGGAAGTGTGCACTCCAAAGATTATCTCAGATTAAAAGGTTTTCATTTACTTAGTGACAAAATTTCCTTTCCTTGGCTAGGAAATTAAGAAGCACATCCGTATGACAAATTTTTATATTATGTATTTGTTCCTGAAGAGGAACTCACGCGGATGACATGATATAATTTTCATTCGTGAGACACATGTAATGACAACTTTTGGCCAATGAGGGATTCATCTGTCCACTCAAAATGGAAATATGAATTTATATATTTGGTACTATGCTCCTGGTTTTGTTTGGTAACTTATCAGGTGCTTTTTACTTGTAGCAAGACGAAATAGTCAACACAATCCAGCTCTTGAGAAGACCACAATTAGGATTCATGCGTTAAAAGCAACAATCCTTACTCAAGTGAAGACGGACGCTTGGAAACGCCAGCCTATAAAATGAGCGAAGAAAACTGTAACAACTCGGCGAGCAGCAATCAAACTGGAGAAGGAACCCCAAGTCTGAGTGAGGCTGAACGAACCTTTAAAGTTGTGTTCTATTCCTGCCTGTTCATTTTAGGATCGCTAGGAAACCTTCTGGTCGTCTTGGTTGTAAAAAGGAAATTAAAAAGCAGGCGAACTATAAACGATTACTTCATTCTAAATCTGGCGATGGCAGATTTAACTTTTTTATGGCTATCACTTCCCTTTTACACAAACGACCTTTATCGTCCGTTTCACAAGAATTTATTGTACTGTAAACTAATTTGGCCAATGATGTCGGTTACTTTATCAGTCAGTGTTTTCACCTTAACGTCCATGGCAGTTGAACGGTGTCGAGGAATCACGAACCCTTTGCAACCGAGAATCAAACTACAGGCCACATTGATATGGATTTTCCTTATATGGATCTTCGCCTTCTTAACGATTGTTCCTCTTATGATTGCGGCACGTTCGGGAGGTGTTCTATGTACCGAACGTTGGCCAAAGTTTTCATATCGCCAGGCCTACACTGCAGTACTATTTGGATTTCAGTACGTCCTGCCTCTAGCAATAATTGCTACTGCGTACCTGAGAATTACTATGCGTTTAATCACTTCCCGGTTACCAATGCGAACTTCAATAAACTCTCGCGGTCAGGTCATCAGACAGAAGACCAGGAGCGAAAACATTCAAATCATTCGAACTTTAGCGGTTATTGTGACTCTATTCATGGCCTGTATGTTACCAAATCAAATTGCTTGGGTACTTTTAGATTTTGGAGGTGCCTCGTACGCTGGGCTTACAAAAGCTTTTTGGACATGCGCAGAAGCTTTGTTATTCCTTCACGCATGCGTGAACCCGATTGCATATGGTTCTTTAACCGGACGGTTTCGTCAAGGGTATGTTCGATTTTTTCGATCCATCTTCTGCTGCAAAGAAAGACGCTTAGCCCTTCCCAGCCTTTCTGATAACCGAACGAGCACAAGGCATTCAAGAAAAAACCATAACGGTGTTATAGTGCACGGCTCTTTAAAATGCAAAAGCATTATTGAAAGTCCTAAAACTACACAACTAAACATGCAGTCTTCTCCTACTTTATCCACAACTGGGGAAAGAGCTCAGGCTGGAAACACTTTATCTGGTCTGTCTCCTCCTCAGATAGTAAATACCACGGATATAGATGTAACAAATACGATCAAAACGAGAGTTTGCGAGGCCAAAGAAGTCGCGAGTTTGTTTTATGCCAACTCTGCCTTGCAAACATCAGACGAAGAACAGAATGTTAAAGAAACAAGATTTTAATTGGCGTCTGTACATGCTATTCCTACAATTTAAGGATCTTCTTTCAATGATATTTGATGAGTACATTAACCACGAATAAGAGCGCATTTAAAAGCAAGTAGTAAATCATAAATTAAACGGTAAAATAATTACGTGTCAACTACTGAGAGCCCAGTAACTCTCACACTTGGCTCAAACATTATGCACCATTCCTATGAACTGATATCAAGTGTTGCGGCTGGTCGACGCGCAGCCGTCGCCTGGGTTCCCATACGTGACATCTAAATCTTCGTGCATGCGCGGTGGCAGCATCTTAGAATGGTGCCACATCACTAAGGATTTTAGATTAGATTAAAAGTTTTGATTTTACACGTTTAGTCATCGTTCGCGGCAACATCTATAAATAAAGTCCCTTCTGGCCAATCACAACTGAGTTAAGTTAAGTATCCTTAAACTGCATAGTCTGCCTTCGTCTCAGGCTGTGAACGCCATTTCAAAGCTGAGGAAGATTCTCCTGCGAATGGAGTCAGCATTTAAATTGACCGAGTAATTTAACTAGGAGCTCATAAAGTGAAGCACACCATGTCCTTTTCCGGGAAAAGGCGCAATTTTTGACGCGACGCCCTGGCCCTGCTTGTCTCTAATATTCACACCTCCTTTTACTTCCTAGCAGTTTGAAGGAAGTGGGGTGTGGGGATCTGGGAGTGCAATTTGACACCCATCATGCCACAAAATTCAAGTAAAAGGCCATTGTAGCCTCCCCCACCCCCAATGGAAATTCTTACCCACCCTTTAACCTTTCTTTAAGAGGGTCAAAGAAGGGAGGCGATCGATATGGTATTTTTATTGAGTAAAACTTTTTAATGGACATTTTAGTTTAAGAAATCGTCGACTATGAATGGTTTAGAAATGATAGGTCTGTTCGGTTTTACTTAACAAATTGAGCGCACGGGATACATAGGTCAGTCTAATTCTAAGAGACACCACTGATAATCCAGAGGCTCGTTCTTCTCGATGTATTTCCAAACTATTGCCGACTGACAGAGCTGAATAACGTCTGCGCGGAAAAGACAGCGGAAAACGGATGTTGAGTCATTTGCATGTTTGATTTTCCATTCTATTGATTCGAGGCGTTGTTTCCCTTGCCGCCTTCCTTTTACAGAACAACCCCCAAATAGGAAAATGTCTCGGACGACAACAAAATACCTCGGTTTTAAATGCCAGCTCCTTTTTTCCCGCAAATTTTGCGTGTGCTTGAGCCCGCGTTATTGACCGCATACCTGTGGCGTAGCTCTTCGTTATTCATCACTGCCTCTGCCGACTATAACAACATTTCTTTTTCAATCATGATGATGATGATGCAAAAATTGTATTTGTTTTAAAGGTTCCCGAAGATTATCGTGTGAAGTAATTTCCAGCTTACAAATTTTTATTCTGAAGTTTTGTAGTCCCGACTTGAAAATGACGCAGTGTTTTTCTTACGAAGTTTATTCCCCAAGATGTTTCTATGTCGGATTTAGTTACCACTACATGGAACTGATAATTTTTCTAATGTGGGTTGAGATTGTGCTTCGACGCGATTTTCAATCCTAATTAAAGAAAAATGGGAAAGAAGAAAAGTCATGAATAAACTATGATTTCTGATTTTTTTCTGTGTGGAATTCAGCACAATTTACTGGCCCCTTGACGCGTGACTGGAAGTGTGTTCGCTTTCAATACGGAGCCCACAAACATTGTGTGGAAAACAACCAAGACAAATTTCCCAGTCTATTGCTGTGTTTACATTTGAGCTTCAACCAAGGTAAACATTTACTAAGATCAAGTTACTTAACCTTGGTTAATTCGTCCAGCGTTTATACTGGCTCAAATGACTCAAGTTGATCTGTCAACAGTCGCACCCGGTGCATTATCAGCGCAGCATAAAAAAATCGAACTGGCGGGAAATTCTAAAAACATGCTCGCTTCAAGAAGTAAAGTGATGGCTTTCGTGGTCATTGCTTTTTATTTCTTAATTCTTGACCGGCAAACAGAAACATCAAGACTTCATAAGCTGTGGTTGTTACAACATCTCAAGAGGTCGAGGCGAAAACGAATGGTTTTACTTCAAATTGCTTTAAAAAATACAAGACGTGCTAGACGTGCGTGGGTATGGCCACGAAATCAGTTCTGGTTTGAGAGCCTTTTGCAAGGAGATTTCGTTGAAGATTGGTGAAAAGAAAATTTCAGGATATCAAGGCGTACTTTTGAGTACATTGTACGAGTGGTTGGACCGGATTTGGCGAAGAGAGACACGAGATTGCGCCAATCTATCCCTGTAAACAAGCGAGTGGCAGTAGCGTTATGGCGCCTAGCTACTGGAGACACGTATAGATCGACTAGGCTGCAATTTGGCATTGGGAGGTGTACAGTTATGCTGATAACGCACGACTTTTGTGAAGCACTTGCCAAACGGGCTACAGAATTTATTAAATTTCCAGAGACTGAGCAAGAGGTGCTACAAAGCATTGGCTTGTTCACAAACAAGTCCCCATTCCCGCATGTGGTGGGAGCAGTTGACAGTAGTCATATTGCATTAAAAACAGTGCCTGTCAACGAACGGATTGACTACTTTAATCGAAAGCAAGATTATTCTATTGTTATCCAAGGCGCCGCTGATGCTTCTTTTAGATTTCTTGATGTAAGTACAGGCTATCCCGGTAGCATTCATGACGCCCGTATTCTCCGTCTGAGCAAACTACAGAGAGAAATTGATCAAGGTACCTGGCTAAACGGGCCTTCGAAGATAATTGGGAGTTCCGAATTTGGTCCTCTTCTGGTAGGGGACTCGGTGTATCCCTTGTCTGTTTGGCTGATGAAGCCTTTTAAGCAAACACCTACATTAACTGAGAGCCAATTGCGTTTCAATCGTGCCCTCAGCCAAGCCCGAGTAGTTATAGAACAAGCTTTCGGAATTTTGAAAGGTCGTTGGAGGTGTCTCTATAAACCACTGGAGGAAAAAACAAGCAGAGTCCCCACCACTATCATGGCTTGTTGTGTCCTTCACAATATTTGTATAGATGTTGGAGATCCGAGTGCTATAGACCCCGTTGAGGATGACGATGAAATGGATCAAAGTTCTTGCAATGGAGATGAGCAGTCTGACGCAAGGGGCATTAGAGAAGACATTATGAACTATTTATCATAGTCAAAACATTAAACCAAAGTTACTACTTTTATTGGAATCTTTCGGGTTAAGTTGAAACCACACACGTGATAAATTTACTGAAATCAATGTTTTGAGATTGAAGTTGTGTCCCTTTCCATTTGTCACATGTGTAATTGAACAACAATTATATAATTCACTTGGGTTTAAAAGTTACAAAAGCTCTCTGATGTTAAAGTTTTTTACATAATTTTTTTGCTAAAAATCGTCAAAAACAAATAACTTTTGTATTTCAAAAGATGCCTAGAGGTTGAATTTGAAATGTGTATAATAATTTCATTTCCCAAAATTGATCAACAGATATTGTAATTTCCAAAATCAGTTTTAAATAATTGCAGAAACAATTGCAATAATTTTTGCCTTCTTTATATTCATCATGTCTGGAATCATTGTCCTGCTACATATATAGTTGTCTTGATCCAACATTTTGTCATGATACATAAAATCACAGTTCATAACTGAAACGAATAAAATGTTCTAATAAAACAAGTAAAGTACTTTAATCTTTCCCATTGGCAACGTCCTTTAAAATGTTTCCAAGCATCTTCAAAGCATCCATCGAAAACTTTTGTTGTTCTTTTCTGCTTTCCCTCTCGGCTTCTGCCATTCGCTCCATGAACGCCTCATCCCTCTCTTGGGCTCCTTCCAGAAATGACAGCACTGTAGGCTCATCTGCTGCTGCTGCTGTAACCTTCTTTCTGGCTGCTTTCTTTCCGTCTTTTAGACTCTTTGGTGCATTTCTTGGTGCATTCTTTGGAGTACTCTTTGGTGTACTTGTGCACTTTCCTTTTTTGCCTTTGTTCTTTAAAAACAAGGATTTTGCAAAGGCAAGTGGCTGGTCTTCCTCTGAGTCAGAAGTGTATACTTCACCAGATGGGCCTGGTAGATCATCAGGATCATCGGATCCGACAACTTTCCTCTTTAAATTTTGAGCGGAGGCAGCAGCGGCAATCTCTGCATCGAAAATTTCTTTGTCAAGAATGTCCTGATCAATTCCTAGGGTACTCTGTGATTTGATCGGGGGACTACTCTCCAACACGTGATGAGGATTGATGGCTTCTCGCTTGCCGAGAATTTCGTCCATGTCCTGAAAATGCTTAGACACAAGCTCAACTCCGCCTTCTGCTTCCTTGTCAGCCTCCTCATCTCCCCCTTTTCCATAACCAGTGGTACGGAGTTTGTCTTTGATTGTCTTGTATTTTTTTGTGAGATTGCTCATTTTAGTTTTACATTGTTGCGCCGTCTTGTCGCTTGAAACGTGTTCTCGCCGGCATCTCTCGTGTAGTTGAGTTGCAATTCTGGCGAATTGTATGCTTTATAGCGAAGCTTCTCTTCGTTATCACCGAACAACTCGATGAGAATTTTTTCCTCCGTTTCAGTCCATCGACTGTTTTTTTTCTTTGGCGCAGTGCTTGATAACTCTTCACTGGTGGAACTCGCAGGGGAATCCGACCGCAGCGGAGGAGCAGGAGCAAATTGTGGTGCCATCATTTGTACGGGCGAGGACCTCATACCATAATACTGCTGAGGAAATTCAGCCGGTTGGTACGCATGGTATGAGGGGTTATATGGTAGGTAAAAACGTCGTGGATAAGTTGAATATGCATCATCCTCCCTGGTGAGAAAATACATCGACAATGATTACACAACGAAGGATCAAAGTTTCTCTTGCGAAAGTTGAAAATAATACCAAGCATAAAACTATAATGCCTTCTTTTCTTTTACCTGACGGATTGTTCGCCGTAAGAACCATCACTTCTTTCATCCATGATTGTAACAGGTATTGTGAAACGCTTCGTTGCTGGACGACGTGACAATCACACGATCGGCTCACCGCGGGAAGTGAAATGTTACGCGGCCACAAGCGGATATATCTGTCATCTTGACCTCGGTTACCGAGCGTAACCATGCCTTTTCACATGGTAATTAAAACGATTACCTCGGTAAACTTTCTATTGTCTTGGGTGGCATTTACCAAAGTGTCAGCTGTCGTTTACACTGACGAAAATTTTACCTAGGTTAATAAACTTTGCTACCGCAGTAAAAAGCTCAAGTGTAAACACAGCATTAGCTTTTATTGCTATTAACCACGATGAAATAACCACAATCTTTTTTACGAAATTAACATGTGACATGTGTAAGCGGCGTTGAGTTCTCAATAGTGTGTTCCCGTCGTCAGATAAGACAAATATTGGTGACTTTAAGATGATGTTTAAGAGGTGTACAAAGTTTTAAACACACGTGCGGAGCTGAAATATACAAATTGTTAAACGCACGTGCAGAGCTTTTTCTCTTCTCGTGAAATATTCCGTTTTATCGCGTTCTCGTCGCCGTCACCGTCGCCGTCACTGTCGCCGTCACCGTCGCCGTCACTGTCGCTGTCACTGTCGCCGTCACCGTCGCCGTCACTGTCGCCGTCACCGTCGCCGTCACCGTCGCCGTCACCGTCATGGTTTGCTAAAGGTCGTACTGTGACCACAACTGCGCTATTGATTTACGCCCTTCTGTTATTTTCCGAATTAGCATACTTTCAAGTGGTGATCAAACTCTCACATTGTTTCCAACTCGTAATTGAACGAATGTCAAGTCTTTCAAGCTAGAGACAGAATTCCAACAGATTCATAAAAATAATAAAACAATAAGCTAACTGTACTTTCCGCAGATGTTCGTCAATTACGTTCTTGCTTTCCTTGAAGAAACCTTCCAGAGCTTCCCTAGCACTGATGTCTTAAAGGCCATCGTCGAAGACCGAGGTGAATTAATTAGAGGAATTAAAGTAATTAATTAATAATTTAAGTTCGCTCTTTCTTTTAATAGTAAGCACACTGTCCCAGGAGATTGATTTTTGGGGTCTTTCCTCTAATTACTAGTTCCCATGTCTTAGTTGGGTTTAATTTCATACGATTCATACTTGACCAAAGTTTAATGTTCTGAAGTTTCACTGACCGAAGAGTCATCAGGCAAATTCAGCCCAATTGGAATACTCAAGGTGATATCGTCTAAAAACTTAATAAGCAGGTTTGTTTCCGGGCCACAACATTAATGTCATTAACCATGATGGGAAAGAAAACATTTGACGGCGCCTTTACACAACTGAAAGATAAGTGTAAGGAAAGTAAAGATCCCGAGAGATTGGGAGAATGTTTCACGTCCCTGGGAATCAAGGAAGTGTTCAGTTGCTGCTGCTCTCCAGACCTGTGTGACGAAGCTGCTGGACGAGCCAAGCCCTATCTGCTGGAGGCCGATAGAATCCAATGTGATCTTGATATCAGCACTGGTAACAGTCGAGCTCAATGTCTTGCCAAACTTGGTCGGTGTCTCGTAAAGGAACAAAGCTTCACTGAAGGGAAAGAAAAGATTCGACAGGCGATCGACATTCGAAGGCACGTGGGGAAGCAGACATTGTTATGTTAGGTGCAACATACAATGACCTAGCAGGTGGGTGAGGTTTCGTACTTAAACTTTCTTCTCAAGCTGAATAAGCCGACAGGAAATTCAACAAAGCGTTGTATAAAAATTTTTCTGGTTTGTGGATATTTCACCTCAGTGCAAGTTCGCCCCTTCCCACCTTTGCGAGTATGTCCCCTGAAGTGAAACAAGTTCGCCCCCACCTTTATCAGTTTGAGAAAGTATTTCAACTCGTTTCCTTACGAACATATTTCTTTCTGCTTCCAGAAAACAAGTGTTTGAATTTTTTTCCTTTTTGTCTAGTGGCTCTCTCCCTTGAGGGAAACCATGAAGAGGCCATAAAAGTTAGAGGAGAGACGTTAGAAATATACAGAAAACACTTAGGAGATCGGCATCCCTTTACGGCAACCATCCTGAACAATCTGTCCAACAACTACTCTGCCCTAGGTGAGTACGACATCGCCAAACAATATTCAGAGGAAGCGCTGAAGATTCGGCGTGAGCTGCTGAAAGATCATTACGACACCGCTAAGTCCTTGTTTGATCTCGGGATGGTTCACAAAAATAGGGAAGAATTCAAGGATGCCAAAGCTTACCTGAGAGAATGTGAAAGCATGCAAAGGGTTCTGGATGACCCTACCATGATCAGCGAGCTTGAAAGGTTAGTTTACACGGTAACCATGTAAGCTGCGGGAAGTCTTGTTAAGAGACAAAAGCTCGTAACTGATCGAGAAAATTATTGGAGCGACAATTTTGCTGCACTGGGGGAGTGGGTAGTGTAGATTTGCACTAGTAAAATCAATCTCTATCGATGTACCCAAGGGTAGACTTGACCCTCGTTTAGCGCATCGAGCCAAAGGTTCGCAAATTCAAAAATAATTAAATTTATCCGTATTGCAGTGACTCATTTAAACCGCCTCTCTCCATATGTAAGTCAAGTCGCCTGGTAAAAAGTCAACGCACAAATATATTTTTTGGTCTTGCTACAGGTGTTAAATACAATCGAAAGTGACGGTTTTCTGTGGAGAGCCTCGAGGCGATTAAAGACCTTGTTTCTGGCGTACAGCTGTTTTCAAACGAGGCGCTGATAATTTTTAGAACCAACATTTTTACCTAACACGAGGATCCTTCTTTGCAAAAGCGCCGAATTCGTGTGACTATGTTGATGATACAAGATATACTGATTAAGACAATGATTTCTAATTTTTGCAAGAGCATGTATTTGAGTTATTTTCGTTTTCAATCAAACGCGTGGCAAGATGAGGGTGTGATATTTTTTTCACTCACAAGTCTCACAATGAAGAAGGTGCGAGTTTTTTTTATTTATCTTTTGCAAGACTTTTCTAAAAACTTTCAAAACTGAATTCTAGAAATGTTTTTAGAATGAACTACTGCTAAAAGCAAGTTTTTCGAGGTTTTCGCAGAGCGCGTTTGTTATCTCTTTTTATTTGTTCCTTTTGTCTTTTACCTCGCGCGTAGCATCTAACGAAGGTGTGTTTTTTTTTTCATCGCTTTAAGAAGATGTGAAAAGAGCTCTAACCTGAATACTGTTAATCAATGCTCAAAGCGTGCTGTTATAAATTTTAAATAAATAAAGGGGTTAAGTCTCTAAAGAAACTGTGGTGCTGCGTCGGTGGGAGAGAATAGCAGGTAATTTAGTGTTAACAACTGAGTTGAAAACGTAAATTGGCCACCGTAAAGCGATTGACGAAGGGCTAACACTCGAAACGTCAGCTATTTTACTCTTTACGGTGGCCAATTTACATTTTCAACTCAGTTGTTAACACTTAATTACCTGTTTTTAATTTTGTCCAGCGTTTTCAAAGCGCCTCAACGTAAAATTGTCACGACAGGATTTCAATTGAGTTTCTGTTGGATAAGCTACCCTCCATCAATTGCGATTCCTGTTTCATTTTTAGTGAAATACCACCTATTCTAAATTGAATTGAATCAGTATAGAACAAGCCGAAAAGTTCCTAAAAATCTATACATATATACAATCCTTAGCACCAAACTGACAGGACTACGCCTAGAAAGAATCTTTCCGGCTAGGATTTCTGGAAATAGCCAGACTCACTTGTCCAGAACAACGGCACTTTCTTAAAACCAAACCTATTTACACCATTACGAAGAAACTAAAGCGATCCAGTGATGTGAGACTTGACCTAAGACGTTCAATATAATAATGGTTGCAACCAACATTTGAATGTTCAGCTCTTGTTTTCAAGACATTTGCATGAGCATAACAGACTCAAATTCGACAAAAATGGAGATGTTCTAATTACCTAGATTTTCAACTAAGACTATTGTTTAAGAGGAGACGTCACGCAGAATTGACTGTATCTTCATTCTTGAGGAATCTCGAAGGAGTGCTGCCTTGTTACACTTGAAGACACTCAGAACTGGACAAGGTTAGACGGTTCACATCAAGTGATTCTCTGTCAGAGTTTGTTACCGGATTTTAGGAGTTCCCTTGCATGGCTCCCAATAGATGCCCCACTACTTCTTCCAATTCGTTCCTGGTCCTGTGCGAGGAAAGACACATCAACCAAAAGCTCGAAAATTTTAATGCTTAACCCTTTAACTCCCAGAAGTGATTAACATGTAACTTCTCCCAATAATATCCACACATTGTCCAGCAAACAGGTAGTGAGAATGCTCAAACTTATCAGGTAGAAGTTATTTTGATCTAACATCAAATTCTTGTAACTAATCCACAAGAAAATATGAAGCCGCCAGAGAGGAGAATTAAGAATGAGATCTCAGTAGCTAAAGAATTAAGGAGGTGGGTAAAGGTGTTAATGTTTAATTCATCAACACATGCATGCCTAAAGGAGCCCTAATGAAACGCAAAGTTTATAGTGATAGACAGTTGTTTACCTTTTAAAAGCGTCGTTTCCCTCATCCAATATTTTCTTTTGCATGGCCTCGCATCTTTCAAGACAATCCTTGGCTGGTCCGAATTCTTCCTTCATTTTATGAACCATCGCAAGATCAAAAAGCGACTTGGCGGTGTCTCGATGGTCCTTCAGCAACTTGAGCCGAATCTCCAAAGCTTCTTTCGAACATCGTTCTGCATCGTTGTACTTTCTCAGGGCATAATAATTGTTTGACAGATTGTTGAGGATAGTTGCAGTGAAAGGATGTTCACCCAGTGTTCTTCTGTAAATGGGTAGCGTCTGATCTTCTCTGACCTCGATTGCCTGCTCATGATTTTCCTCGAGCGAAAGGATCACTAACAAGGAAATCACAGTTTTATCACTGAATATGTAAAGATGCTTATCCTTCAAGAAGTGATAAAATAATACAATACTTCCAATTCAGTCATTTTCGGCTGACCATGAAGATGTAAAGAGAGGTAGTAAAAGTGATTTTAGTTTTCTTAAAGAAAGGATTTTTGAAGCAGCCGTAAACCCCTTTAAAATAGTATACATTATAATTCGTGTGAAGGATTTCGTTTATCTAGTAGTTGATTACAAACATTATGAAGACACCTTTCAATAAAATTCACTTTCTCAATGTTCTAAGCATCCTTTCAAGGTCCAGACTAAATGAATGACGGCTATTCAGTTTAATCTTGACTAATGAGAGGCTAGAATCATAATGGTGGATTTGGATGCTTCTCTTGCTTTTTTTCGCTCAGAGCACAGGCCACAATTTGTACATCATTTTTAATCGTGAATCTTTTATCATCGATTTTGAAGATTCATACTTAAACAAATGCTCAATATAACCTTAAAATACGATCTCACAAACTGCCTTGCAAAATGTATGATCATTGTGCTCGCAAATTAATTTGGTACTTAATCATTCTGTACACTTACCTCCCTGATCATTAAACGTTGCACCGAGCATAACGATGTCATCCTCTCCTTGAGCCCATCGAATGTTGATTGCCTGTTGGACTTTTTCATTTGCCTCCTCAAAATAGCCTTCTTTGGCGAGACATCGACCAAGTTTGGCAAGGCACTGAGCTCGGCTGTTACCGGTTCTAACTCCAAGATTATCCTGGATTTGGTCAGCCCTCGTGAAGTATTCTTTGGCTCTTTCAGCGGCGGAAGCACACAGACCAATTGGAGGACAGGAGCAGCTGAATACTTCTTTCATCCCCAAGGATGTGAGGCAATCGCTCAGTCTCGTCTGATCTTCCATCTGTTCGCATCTCGTTCGTAAAGATTCAAAGGCAAATTTAAATTTGGCCTTTGCCATCATCTTTGCCAGTAGCTCCGCCACGTTGTTGAAAACATCAATGCACTTTCCTGTTTGATCTTCATCCATTTGACCATTTCTGCACCATTCAACGAGCTGCATGACATTTGCCTCATCTTTCTGAAAGGCTGCAATAGCTTCTGACGCGTTCTGGCTCAGGAACATTTTAAAGATGTCTTCCAGAAAGGTTAAAAAATGAAGGATAAACGCCCTCCGAGCATCTAAGATCACTTCACAAAACTCCTGCTCCATTGCTTTAGTTTCACAATAATCACGAATTACTCGAAGGAGGGTATAGGAGCATTCATCTCCAATAATGTGTTCTTCTAAAAGTGATCGCTTGGACAGTTCCAGTCCACATCGTCTGAGTTGAGACGCACTCATCTCCGTTGATTGAAATATTTTCATCGCTTCAGACAAAGAAAAACGCCCTCTGAGTAATGCAAATCTGATAAGGGCACACTTTTCTATCGAAACAAGCCTTTCGAAGCAATGATCGATACAAACGTCGATCTTTTTATCCGCTGATACCGTTTGAATCTTTGCCAAGAAATCGAATTTTTCTTGAGGCGTAGAAGAGTTCATCTCTTCCAAGAGACTTCGCAGGTTACGGTGGGAGGAGGCTAGGGTGTAAAGGATCAAGGGAATACCGCTGCAAATCTCTGACAAGTCATGTGCTTGGGTTGTATCGACTTGCCCATCCTTCCACACTTTTCTCAAAAGGTTAATGGATTCTTCTGGCGTAAAAGACGACAGATGAAGTATTTCTCGACCTGCTTCCGGAAAACAAACTTTCTCTGAGGATGTGACGAGAAGCTTGACTTTGCTTGCAACCATTAAAATTTCATTGATAAGATTCTTAATCTTCGATCCTTCCTCAGATGGGCTCTTCTGCTGGAGTGACAATTCATTTCCAGGGAGCTGCATTCTGTCATCCAAATAAAGTATAAATTCAAGATTATCCAATACCAAAATCGTGTAAAAATCTTGGCTTTTCAAGCGATTTTTCAGCTCAGCTATTGGATTCTCCACAGGAAAGTGATAGACTTGCTGAAGAACCTCCTTTGCAAAATCATCAAATAGTTTTATGTTCCTACAGTTAACGTAGATCACCACGGTACGTACATCAGAATTCAGTATGTCGTTTGCCACTTTAATCGCCACGGTTGTCTTCCCCATGCCAGTGGCACCATGTATATGAAGGCATCTGCAATCGTGCAGCGGAGAAAGGTATTCTCTGATTTTTATGCATTCTGTTTCGCGATTGACGAAATGCGGTACCGTTCGGGGAAGAAGAGACAAATTTCTATAGATTCCTGTAAATAAATGCAAAATTTTGCAGTGGAAGATGTATTGAACCTAACAGATACATACGGCAATTTCCATAAACAGAAAATGGTGGATAAAAGAAACAGCATCAGAAGGAGAAAATACCTGCTAAAGTTTCCTCAACTGGTTTTTGTGACCCACCTGAAACCAGAAACCAGCTGAGATGTTATGTCATTAATTAAAGCAACAGCTACTCAAGTTGTCTTCCTATTCTCTCACTGCAGATTCTCGTTATTCCTCCTAAAACTTATCTTAGCTTTATTATTATTATTATTATTATTATTATTATATACTCTCATCCTTCCCTTTTCACATCCATTTTCTAAGGTGTCACCTTCTTTTCTCATTTTGTTTTCTAGCCAGCGGCCACTTGGAAGCCCGCACATCTTTTGCCGGCTACCTCTATCCTTGGACATTGTATGTACCAGCCACATCAGAGTATATAATTCAACAACTAAGTTATTGCCAGTTTTACTTGTTAAAAAAATATCTTAACATAGAAAATGACAGACAATGACCTGAAGGTTCCAGGGTTCCTGGATTACTTTCTTGAAATGGCGGTGGTGTTGCAGCACGTGGATGTGGTCGCTCACCCATCTGTGGGAGCAAGTTTTGAGTTCTTAATGAAGTATACCAGGTTATGCATGTAGTTTTATTTTATTTCCATAAAAAGCTGAGTAGGGGCCTTGGGATGAGGCCTGCTGCCCATGTTATATCTAAGACACTCCTCTAAGCGTACGAAACGAAATCTGGATAAGAAGTCTTTCATTTCTTAATTGAGAGTTTTAGATGAACAACATTCAAATAAACCACATGGAAATCAATTTCGCGTCGACTTTCAGTTTTAACGTGATGTCAAATGGTCGGGGGATCCCATCAGAGGCATTTTCATTATTTCAAGCAGTACCAATACCGATTCACTCAAGTTGAGAATTGCCCCGAGGTGAAATGAAATTTGACCACGTTTTTGTGTCTTCGAGACCCGTATGTATCAAGCACGACTGAGGCACTAAGTACCTTAAGCAGTCCAGCCAATGACGGAGAGGAAAAGGTCGATAAAAAAAGGAATCGGTATTTATCTCAATAATTTAGCGAATGGGAGGTGATCTCTACAATCTTCAGTATAACATGTGACATGTGTAAACGGCGTTGAGTTCTGAATAGTGTGTTCCCGTTTTCAGACAAGACAAATGTTGGTGAGTGAAAGATGGTGTTTCAGAAGTGTGCAAAGTTTTTAACACACGTGTGGAGCTTTTGCTCTGCTTTTTCTGCTCGTGAAATCTTTTTTTTGTCGCGTTCTTCGCCCTATCAAGTTTAAGAAAGAAACATAAACAAGTCGTGGTCGGTTTCCCTGTTCTCAGACCACGCAAATTTGGTTGACTGTGTATGTTGATATTTTGCCGAGGGCGCTGAGATGTACAAGTTGTTAAACGCACGCGCAGAGATTTTTCTCTGCTCGTGAGATATTTTGTTTTGTAGCGTTCTCGTCGACGTCGCCGTCATGGTTTGCTAAAGGTCGTACTGTGACCACAACTGCACTATTGATATACGTCCATCGGGTATTTTCAAAATTAGCATACTTTCAAGTGGCGATCAAACTCTCATATTCTTTCCAACTCGTAATTGAACGAATGTCAGGTCTTTCAAACTTAAGGCAGAATTCCAACAGTTTCATAAAAATGATAAAAAAATAAGTTAACTGTTCGTTTCGCAGTTCTGTCTTAAAAAATAATCATCACTTGGAATCTTAGAGCTACGTTAGTTAAACCGGATTAATGGGAAAAATGACTCCATAATTAATCGACAGAAGATCTGTAAGAATACCTCAAAAGTTCTTAAAGCAAGCGTAAATGAAATTTAATGGTAACAAACTGACCGTTGATCTGCTTAGACCAAATTGAATGTTAACTATTCACGAAGTTTGGACAAGTCCAGACACGAAAACACAGCATGTTTCGACATGATATACTTACACTTAAATGATCATCCCTCAAACTGCCAGATATTTGCCTCGTTTTAAATGAAAAGCAGTTACATAGTGACACAGAAATCGTCCAAAACCTAACCCTGTACGGGTTTTAAACATTTAAGTGTAATTTCCACGGATTCTGAGCGAAAGCGGAAATAATAGACCTTGGTGCGTCAACAAATATTGCCATGTCTCATTACTTTGAAATTCCTCTACATTCAATATGAATGTGCTTAGTTGGCTCATTGAAACGTCTCTTGAATAAATTTCTATCATCAACCCCATAGAATACTCAAGCAAATACAAATTATGATTGTGATCGAAATTCGCCGAGTCGAACATAGGCGCACTGATCTTTTAAATTCCAAACGGACCTGGTAAAACCTGTCGGAAACCTCAGAGTAATGTCACCTTCACAGTTAAACCTTAATGTTCTTTTCTTACCTTACTTTCACTGAACCCAGCTATGTAGAGCTAACTGAGAGGTTGAAAATACGTTGAAGAATGCTTGTAAATGCATCGCAACTCGACGAACACGGTTCTGATTGATCGCTTCTTCAATCAAATCTGTAAACTGATCTGATTGATGGAGCCATCAAAGCGTATAAATCTCTTCATTTGATTAGTGCAGGGGTTAAGACGTAACCGAAAAAGGGCGATAACTCCAAATTGTTTTTTCCTCTCCGGTCAACTCATCTCCCAACTCGCCTTTAAGTGGCCTCCTAAACTTAAAAATGAACTGAGGCTTCTTCCATCATGCTTACGGTTCAAACTATAGATAAATTTCATTCAAAGAAGTATACCTGGTTATGCATGCAGTTCTATTTTATTTTCATATAAAGCTAAGTAGGGGCCTTGAGGATGAGGCCTGCTGCCCGTTTTATTTCTAAGACGCCCTTCTAAGCGGACGGAACGATAACTAGACAAGTAGTCTTTGATTTGTTAATTGTGAGTGCTAGATGAACAACATTCAGATAAACCGCATGTAAATCACTTTGGCGTCGACTTTTCTGTTTGAATGTGATGTCATACGCATACTTAGCACACTGTTAGACCAGCCATGGTAGGAAGATCCCATAAGAGGCATTCTCATTATTTCAAGCTGTACCAATAACGATTCGCTCGGGTTGAAAATTGCCCCGAGTTGAAATAAAATTTGACCACGTTTTTGTGTCTTCGAGACCCATGTGTACCACGTACGACTGAGGCACCAAGTACCTTAAGCAGTCCGTTCAACGACGGAAAGGATGAGGTCGATCAAAAAGGAAATCGATATTTATCTCAATAACTTAGCGAATGGGAGGTGATCTCTACAATCTCTAACGACGCCAGACCTGGACTTCAGCATAACATGTAACATTTGTGAGCGGCGTTGAGTTTTGAATGGTGGATTCCCGTTGTCAGACAAGACAAATGTTGGTGACTGCAAGATGGTGTTTAGGAGGTGTACAAAGTTTTTAACATACATGCGGAGCTTTTGCTCTGCTTTTTCTGCTCGTGAAATCTTTTGTTTGTCGCGCTCTTCACCCTATTGAGTTTAAACAGAAACATAAACAACTCGTGGTCGGTTTTCCTGTTCTCTCACCACGCAAATTTGGTTGACTGTGTATGTTGATATTTTGCCGAGGGCGCTGAGATGTACAAGTTGTTAAACGCACGCGCAGAGCTTTTTCTCTGCTTGTAAAATATTTTGTTTTGCCGCGTTCTCTTCGCCGTCGCCGTCATGGTTTACTAAAGGTCGTACTGTGACCAAAACTGCGCTATTGATTTACGTCCTTCAGGTATTTTCAGAATTAGCATACTTTCAAGGTGCGATGAAACTGTCATATTGTTTCCAACTCGTAATTGAACGAATGTCAAGTCTTTCAAGCTAGAGACAGAATTCCAACAGAATCATAAAATAATAAAACAATAAGCTAACTGTTCTTTTTGCAGTTCCATCTTAAACTAAATAATCAGCACTTAGAATCTTAGAACTACGTTAGTTAAACCGGATTAATGAGCAAGTATGACTACATAATTAATCGACAGAAGATCTGTTGGATACCTCAAAAGTTCCTAAACCAAGCGTAAATGAAATTTAATGGTAAAAAAACTGACCGTTGATCTGCCTTGACGAAATTGAATGTTAACTATTCACGAAGTTTGGACAGGTCCAGACACGACAACACGGCATGTTTCGACATGATACTTATACTTAAATGATCATTCCTCAAACTGCCAGATATTTGCCTCGTTTTAAATGAAAAGCACCTACATAGTGACACAGAAATCGTCCAAAGACCTCACCCTGTAGGGGTATTTAACATTTAAGTGTAATTTCCGCGGATTCTAAGCGAAAGCGGAAATAATAATCCTTGGTGCGTTAACAAAAGTTGTCATGTCTTATAACTTTGAAATTCCTCTACAATCGACATGAACGAGCTTGGCTGGCTCACTGAAACGTCTCTTAACTAAATTTCTATCATCAGCCCTTCAAAGTAGTCAAGCAAATACGAATTACGATTGTGATCGAAATTCGCCGAGTCGAACGTAGGCGCTCTGACCCTTTCAATTCCAAACGGACCCGTTAAAACCTACCGGAAACCTAATGTCACCTTCACAGTTAAACCTTAAATGTTCTTTTCTTATCTTGTTTTCACTGAACCCTGCTATGTAGCGCTGAATGAGAGGTTGAAAATACGTTGAAGAATGCTTGTAAATGCATCGCAATTCGACGAACACGGTTCTGATTGATGGCTTCCTCAATCAGATCTGTAAACTGATCTTATTGATGGAGCCATCAGAGTGTATAAATCTCTTCATTTGATTACTGCAGGGGTTAAGACGTAACTGAAAATGGGCCATAAATCCAATTGTTTTTACCTCTCCGGTCAACTCA